AGACTTCTTTCAACAAAGCCGTCAGATTTTTGTTAACAATATAAACACATGGACGAGGTCAAGTGATGCCGGGGTTTGAATCACCGTGATAGTCTCATAGATTCTCCATTTTGGCTGACTTTGTGATGTCACTGAGTCAACAACAAAGACGAACAAACGCCCACTAAGTTTAACAGCTTGTGATACAAGACAGACAAATAGAAAACAACGCCAGTCTGTTACAATAAAGGGTTATGCTTTGTGCTGTGGAAGAAAAAAAGTTATGAAGGTTTCATTATTAAAGGAGGCTGGAGCAAAAGCTTCCATTAAAAACTGGATATTGCTTTAAAAGACGTGAGAGTGTACTTAGGTTTTGTTCTGAGGTGAAGAAATGAAACTAAAGGTCAGACCGAAATAAGAAAAAGGAAAATGAAATTTGGTCTCGGGGATTAGGTCTCTTCCAACACCCTTATGGTTCATTCACCTTTTATTCAGTCTGTCCTTTGTCTTTTTTGGGTTATCAGAGGTCCTAAAGGACAAAAACTACCTGTTACATGTTTGAAATGAACTACAGTTCCATCGTTTTAAATGAAAAAGGCTTTTCTCTTCTTGACCCTGTGGAGGATGCTGAAGGGTACCCGGCGTGTTACGGTGCAGGGCCGGGTGTGTGTGAGTTTTGGAGTGAGTGTGGGAGCTTCCTCCCCGTATGCATGGCCTTGTCTCCTCCTTTGCCACTGTGAAATCTGAGTGACAGAAAACAGGGACATGGAGGACATCCTATTAATATGCTAATCCATGCGGGGATGACTTCAACACACAGAGCCCAGTCAGAAATACATATGTGTCATCTGTGAGGCAGGCTGTGTAGAAACCAAAGGCTCAGGGCTGAGGAGGAGGAGGGGGATCACACCGACGGGCGCTGGAACAGGAGCCGAGGAGCATAGGAATGAAAGTGGTAGATGGATGGGGAGGGAATCCCCACGTTTTCCCATCCCAAACTAAAAATTTCTGCAGCCGAGAGAAACAATCGGGCATGTTGACAGAGCGGTTGAGCGTCTCATGCACCGCATGTCGTCGCCATGTACAGATTTGCTCGCTCGGTGCTGGCATCAATAATCCATGTGACCTGTTCTTGTGGGGAGACCGCAAAGCACCGAGGGCTTATATAAGAGAGTCGACTCTTGGAGTCGGGATTTACTCCTCAGGACTACAATAACTGTCGACGGGAGAAAAACCACGAGATGATGAAGCTGTTTACAGAGAGGAAAACAAACAGCTGGGTGTGCTCTGTGCTGTAGAACAGCCCCCAAACAGACAAACGCTCTCAGTGTGCGTGTAGTGAATGCCCCAGTATTTTGCTTTGCTGTTCAGAAGGTTTTATAGAAGTTTGAAATGACTGGGAGAGATGTCTGTGGCGTCTCCAGCCAGAGGGATTAAAACCAGAACAACCTACTCCTACCTCCCTGTCGCACCGGCAGACTCCACCTGCCTCTCAACGTCTGAGACAGACAGACAGCCGGGCACACTGTTTCATCCCGTTTTTCTTATCTCCCCGGCCCAAATCCCCTGCCTCCAGAAAGCAATTTAAAAGCCAGAGAGAGACAGAGGACAGAAAAATGAACCAAAGAGATGCAGGAATGCAGCCTCACGATAACGCCGCAGACTTCAGCTTCGGCTCAAATACAACAGGCTGCACACAGGCTAAAGCTCAGACTACATCAGTTGTCATCGTTTTCAGCGCGTCACATTCGGTCACATTAATTCGATGACAAATGACAAACGACAAATGTTCGACATGCTCGCTGGGGTTTTTTTTGTGATCCGATAAAGGTTCGGAATATTTCCCCTCAATCGGAGACCTACCTACAGATCAGCCCCGTGCTCGGGGGGTCAGGCCTGACAAAAGCAAAGGCCTCAGCGGGCTGCCACTTTCAAACATTCTGACCTGATTTTGTCAAAACTTTCCTCCGGTCATCAAGTATGACTCGGATTTACGGCTTCGACGGCGTTATAAAGCATGTCTGAGTGTGAAATTGTGGCCAATTAAAAAGTGGAAACCCCAGTCAGTTCACAATGTTCCAGGGCGTAATTAATATGAACCTGGATGGCAGTGGTTAATTAAATATTAAGGCATCTTAAATGGCTGTGCTGTCTCTTTGCTTTATCTGTCTCTTCCTAAAATGACACTCCCATCTCTGTCCTTCCCTCCATTCGGGGACTCTTTCCCTTATCTAAAACCGTGGCTCCATCAGGTGAACCCGTGCCCACTGAGAATAAAGTAGAGGAGTAGCTTCCAAAAACCCATCTGCATACACAGTAAAATGGTGTGGCGTGAGCCGCTCTAAATTTAGACCATTCAAACAGACACTCCACTACGAGGGACCCTAAAGCCCATTTATGTTTACCGTAAATGAATACATAACAATTAAATCCTCTTTCCTGTCCGCTGGTGCGTGCTCAGCCCGTCTGGGAGATGAACTCTGATGTCCAGAGGGGTCTGAGATTAAATTGACGGGCAATCTACTGTGAGCCTGTAATCTGCTGCCTGTCTCTATCTGTACAGTTCCAGTCTTTATTCGACCAGTGCCAGGGAAACATTTTTAGACACGGCCAATATTAGATTCGTCCCCTTTATGTTAATGTCTTAAAAGAGACTTTTACTGTGAGGTGGGAAAAACGACAGCACCTTGCATGGATTAGCCTGGAACAGGGACAGCGTCCTCCAGAGATAAGAAAATCCCCTCATAAGCTCCTCCAAAGCTTACTAATTAACACATGACATTTTGCGTAATCCATACAGAAACTAAGGCGGAAAAAAAACAAACAACTTGCAAATTACCAGAAATGTCCCCCATACTTGTTGCCAAGCAACTGGTGAATAGGAACCTTCCATGAAAGGTGGAACTGTCCATTCTAAATTTAAAGTTTATGTATAGGTCTCAGTATGAGCAAAAACAAATGGAAAATAAAAAATAAAAAAACTGTGATGATGGTTAGTGTTATGTTTGTTCTAATGGAATGGGTTGGTAAACCAGATGGATTAATCTATCTGAACTAAACTTTTGCATGAAAGTGATTTAAATGTTATTTTCAGCTTTACAGAAGTGTATGAAACTGAGCACTCCTTGGCCTTAATTTTGTTTATATTTTCTATGTCATGATCCAGCCTTTATCTTGTTTTTGTAGGTTCATTCTTAGGGATCTGCTCTGTTGTCTAGTTTATGACATTTTTTGGCTTAAAAAAAACGTACCCTCAACTTTTCAGGTGGAAAAACTGTTTGTATACAGCAGGTTAACCTGAGCCTCAGTTTAGTCACACCTTTGTGTTAAATTCTCATGTAACAGCAGCAGAAAAAAAGGGCATTTTGGCATTACTTTAAATGTGTTTTATAACTAAAAATTAAAAGAAAAACAGACAAAATAAACTTTGCCAGCAAATCCAAGCCTTTTACAACTTTAACTCACTTTCAGCAACACAACTTTAGGATCTTTTCAACAAGGAAAGCGCAGAGCTGTGGAACATGTTAAGGGGACCATAACATAACCAGAGCCAATTAACTTTGCAGAGACACAGCCAGCTATTCTGAAAACACAACTGCACTTGATGACACAGTTGGCTCATAACAGTCGTCAGTGTGATCTAATAAATATGCATCTCTGAGGCATGGTGATGGGGGCTAGAGGAAAACAGATGTCTGAATTTAGAAAAAGCATGGTGAAAACATCCTTGCCTGCTGGAGTAGTTTTTTTCTCCCGTTCTTGGTATGTTTTACAAAGAATTTGGGTCTGCTTAATCACACAGTGTGATGTCATAACTGCATTTTTTCCACACAGATGAGATTTATAAAACACCCATCTGTGTGTCACATGATTTTCATTCACTAAAACGAACCTCTCACAGTTCAAAGGTATATCCTGAGAGAGGCACAACAGGTCAGATTCTTTTATTTGATAGTTTTTAGGTGGAAGAATTTGTATAATTCTTGTGCAGCCTGTATAATAGGTGGTAAAATAATATTGTTGCCCCGTCTATATACTAAACTAACTTCACTGGTCTGTTTTTTCCAGATAGATCTAAGCCAACATTTTAGTGCGGTCCAACAGCACAGAAAACATATTTTTCATTCGAATAGTGAGTTGAAATTCTCGTGACTCCATTTGCAGATCCTGTGCTCTGCGGAATGATTCTGTTCCTCCAGACTGAGTCCATCTTACACCAGATTCCTTTGCCTCCTGTTTGCCTCAAGACGTCTAACCACTCCGCTCATCCTTTCCGACAAACAGCTAATCCAGAAACATTGGTAGCTGGCTCTGGAAAGCTTTCCTCACAGGAAGCCACTCAGGTAGGCTTTCTCCTGTGTGGTACCCACCGCTTTGGTTACGTCATGCCGTCACAGACCGAGACCCGGGGGGACAGATGTGTCCGCGTCTGCTGCTGTGGGAGGATTAAAACCTTTGTTTTGGTCATGTGTCTCTGCTTCAGAATGGACTCTTAGCTGGAACCAGCTGTTTGTTCATTTGTTGTTCGTTCACTGATCAGAGCTGTCAGCTCTGAACATCTGAGACGGCCCGACACTACACCTATGATCATCTTAATGTTGCTTCTCTGAATCCAGATGATTTGATTGAATAAAGGGATCATCGCAGAGCAGCAATCCTAGATTGATTTTGTACTCACCCATCCATTTTCTATACCTTGTAGATCCAGTTTGTTGGGGGACTAAATTAGTAGAAATTGTATTGTAAAATGAATAAAAGTTCAGTCAGTGTGGATAATTAATGGCCCTGAACAGATGACAGGAAAACAGCACCACCTAGTGGGAATCCTGGATTACCACAAAGCATTTCTTTTGAAAGCAGTTTTGTATTGAAATAGTCTTCTTTTATCCGTACACGCATTTTGTAACATATCTATTTACTTGTTTAGATGTATATCTATTTGGATATCCATGTGGACAATACATTGTAGACTCTTACAAGCCAAAGAATGTACACTACTGTCATTCAGATGGCAAACAAAATCTGAGACTGTTTGAATCATTTAATTTTTGCCGATTGCATGAATACAAAAACATTTGAGTTGACCGACAGTGTGAAATCAATTATTTACAAGTGTGTTATCTACAAAAACAACTGCTTCCCAGAACAGGCAAAAGGAGAGGGAGAGACTGTAGGAGCATGTGGAAAAAGTGCTGGAATTCGCTCAATGTGGGGAGCAGAACCACGACAGCAGCACCAGCTGGCCGCTGACAAATGCTGACTCTGCAACTCTGATAGTCCTCATAAAACAGAAGCCCGGAACGCTGCCCACCATGATGTCACCACAGCTCCTCAGTCCCTCTGGAACAGCCACTGACAGGCTGCCCTCCACTCTCCCTTCTTGGTTTGTTACGTATGACTTAAGAAGTCTCCTCATCAATTTTCGGGGCCAAGTAGTACTTGACATGTCCCATGTCAGCAATCTTGTACTCCACCACTAAGGAGAGAAAAAATAAACAGTTAAGACTAGCGTTCAGGGGATGAGAATAAATCAGTGTGACCAGTTGCTCAGAAGCGGCCCGTGCACCTACCCAGGGGGATATCAGCAGACATGCTGAGCGTGACGGTTTTGGACAGAGGCGTGGCCTTTGTGAAGAAGTTCAGGTAGTTCAAGGCAAAGATCAGCTGCACGGGTTCATTCATCTCAATAGTTACCTGCACAAGACAAAGGAGAGAGTGGACTTAATATGCAGTCTAAATAAATTAAGGAAATCTGTTTTTTATATAAAAGAAGCGGCCAACTTTGAACTTCCAGTGTACTTCCGCTCTGTTCCAGCTGAGAGGAAAACCCTTTATCTAATGGATGGACTAAACTAATTAATTCTGCCCCACTTACAGCTTCCTCCTCTTTGTCCACATTGCTGGTCTGGGACAGCTTGATGTTTCCGGTGCCCAGCTCCCCTGAGGCGGAGAACTTCACTCCATCTTTGGCACAAGAGATCATGACGGCGTCCCCAATCTGAGAGAGGTCACGGCAGATGCGGGCGAACTCGCCAGAGGGCATCTTCACCACACAACTGTACTCCTGCTCCTGGGGGGCGAGGCACACAGACAGGGTACAGTCAGCTACTGCGTGCTGGCAAAACGGCAACATTCCCTCGAATCAAAGGAACTGCTAACTTACTGGAATACCAAGCTGCTCCACATCCAGGTCCATGAGCTTCATCTCATAATCGGAGACTTTCTCCTGATCTGCAACAACAGAACAACAGAAGTGATGCTGGAGCCGAATGCAAAGCAGCAAAAAAAGCCCCGATCAAAGCTGGATACGCTTCAGGATTTCTATTGACAGACTTACTGAGGGTCTCAAACACAAGGGCAAGTGTGTCTGCATTGTCCTCAGCTCTAAGAGTGATGATGTCCTCATTTCCTGCACACTTCAGGATCTTTGACATGCTGCAAAAAAAACAAAAAAAACAGAGGAAAATATATTAGGAAATGGCTTAACAAAAACAAAATGTCAAATCCTGAGGAGTAACTCGTTTTGAATAAAAAAAACAAAAACGGTATATACTGTATAATTACCAAATGAACTTAAAATGTATATGGTTATTAACACTAATATTTTATATATATATAAAAAAAACAAATTATTTTTGTTCTTTTGAACAGTGTAAAGTCTTAACGGAAACGGAAGTGGAAGTTCCCGGGTTCAACAGCAATTCCCGCCAAGCCGGCCGGCACGGCACTTGGCGCTCAAGTGACGTCACTTAATGCTCTCAAGTATGAACGTTTCCCGACATAGCGCCAAAAGGTAATTTGACCAGTCTCCCGTCAATCTGCCGTTTGAGCATAAAAACACCACAAGTGTACTTTGAAGTCTGACAGCAACGAATTAACCCGCGCTGCGTTCAATTCGGCTCAGAAACATGCCCGGGCAATTCCGCCAAGATGGCCACCCTCTTTGTCAGCTTCATTTCTAAAGCGATAAAATCGTGCCAACCAAAAATGTTAACGTGTCTCTGACATCCAGTATGCTGACGGGAAATTGTTAGGTTTCTTAAATTGCCCAGAACAGCTCAATTCCGTGTGGTTTTCCCTCTTTACATCTCCTTAGACGACCTCAAAACTTCAGCAATACGACCCCCCCCCCCAAAAAAAAAAACTCAGAACGTGATTAATTGGTCGGCTTCTTCTACCAGCTGAAACTCAGCGTTTGTCAGACAAACTTGCCAGGCGTTTGAAGGCGTTTTACCTGCTGAGGTTGACCCCCATGGCGAGGTTTCTGTCGCAGCGGTACGAGTCGAAGCCGTCGTGCCGCAGCGTGAGCTGCACCAGGGAGACGTGAGAGGAGTCCATGCTCTGCAGGGAGATGCCCGACGAGCTGACATCCCAGCAGGCTTCTGTGATCAGGTCCTTCAGGGCCTCCAGCACCTTCTTCAGGATTGAGCCTTGGACCAGGCGAGCCTCAAACATGGTTGCTGCGGAGTGTTACGTGTGCGTAGACCGAAAGGGAAAGCTTAACTTCGACGTAGCGTCGCTCCAGTAAACTGGCAGCAGAGTGAAGTTGTCGCGAAGTACAGGAAAATAATTTAAGTCTGAAGAGTTCGGTCTTTGTTGTGGCTCACGCAGCTGCTGTGAGTTGTTGCTCCTTTCACTGCAAACTGATATTCTGAGCTGGTTGCGCGCGCTAACGTCCTTTTTTAATAATTTTGCGTCATTGCGTCATTTCCGTACGTCTGTGCGTAACGTCCTTAAAACGCAAACGTAGCGGACTTCTATTAAAATCTAACAGTTAAACGTCCTGAAGCAGTCCGTGAATTTTAATTTAGTGTTAAACAAACAATAGTATAAACAAACAATAGACTTAATACATCTGAAATATGAACTCTGCAGTTTGATAATACAATGATACATTTTATTGTAAATTTGTGAATGTTTCAAAGGTCTTTCTGTATTCATCTTGGGCAACTTTTGAAAGTACTGCATTGCTAGTTTTTAATGAGAGCAGTAATGTTACATTAATGATCTTGAGATAGAAACAACTATCAGGAGCTATTATGTCTTTATCACCGTCCATCCATCGTCGTAACAGCTTATTCCATAATGGGGTTGCGGGATTTATTTATCACCTCTACCATTATTTCAGGTTTTACTGACACTTAAAAAACATACATCTCTCTGTTTGACATCATCGCCTCAGCACGTTAATCTAGTTCAAATCCATTCTTGAATCAAAATGGCTTTTTTTCCCCTTGTAATGTCTTTGAGTGAACACAAACTATTTAGAGACATCCAGGTGACTATAAACTGTTTTTATTGATCAAAGAAGTTCTCATACAGACACACAGCCTAATAAAAATCACACAACCATGTTCCCAGTCTGTTGCGCACACATGGAGTAGGTCATTGTTTTCAATAGGGTGATTTAAGCCCTGAGAATACATTTATTTGGACCACCCAACAAGCTCGTTTGATGCTTGATTCCTAGATATTTAGTCTCAGAAAAGGGAAAAACAGTCTGACCAAAAATGAGTCTGAGCCTTCAGACATGACGGGATTACTCAGTTGCGCTAAATATTTCACCTCTACTTGGATAAGTCTGAAAATTTGATCTTTGTAGGCTAGTTCTTTAAAGACTATCTGCCAGGATGTAGTTGGCTGCCATGGCGATGATGGGGGCTCCCGTCGGGACACCGGGGAAAGGACCACTGGACCCAGCGATGTCCACGTGGGAGTATGGCAGCGGCACCTCCGAATCCACGCCATGCTGTGGGCAGATGTCCGGCAGGAGGACACACACACACACAAAAACACACACACACACACACACATTAAGCACTGCGCTCCCTTCACATCCACAACAGGCAGCAGCAACAAGCCCGGCGTGTGAGCACCTTGTCCAGGCCCGAGGCCATGATGAGGAATGCGGCCGGGGTCTGGTGTCCGCGGGGGGTGGCTGTAGACGGCAGGTTGTTGCACTGCAGGATGTCCTCGTACTCGGACTTTCCCTTGTGGAACTCGTAGTCCTCTCGCCTGATGCTGGACACCTCAAACAAATCTCCCAGCACCTCTCCGGCTGTAAAAAAAACACAACAAAAAACAGTTTTACGCTCTGGAAACCCCAAGATTTTCAGAGCGCCTGAGCCACAGGAGCTTCAGAGATTGTTGGATGATGGAAACTCAGTGATCTGACTGCTAACTCCCCGGTCTACATGTTTAAGTACTCACTGATAATTTGTCTTGGGAAAGATGCGTATACTGAATCTAACTATTGGATAGCGCTTTCTCACACCCATTCTCATCTTACAGATCACCATTTGATAAATGAGTATATTGTGCATATCAGGACTCGAATGTGTTTTGAAAAAAGAAAGCAGCTTCTCTAACAGACCCCACCTTTCTGCCACAGAGCGGCATTCCCATTACGATGGGCCGGCCCGTTATCCATGATGATCTACAAAGAGAGGAGTAAAGGTGAACCTCAGCCGGATCTTGGCTCGTCTCTGGTCGGTGAGGTCAGGTCTGTACGTCAGCAGGACTCACCGAGTAGTCCGGTCCCATGGCCCTGATGGCGTGACCGGTTAGAGTCGCAATAGTGAACAGCTGAGGGTTAATCTCATTTACGGCCTGGGAAAAGAGGGACGGTCAGACTGAAAACCGATTCTAATGGAGGACCAGTTTATCCAGAGGTGGTTTCGATGCGTTTCCCCCTGACCTTCTCCTTCATCTCACACAGCAGATCCACCATCACCATGCGGCCCTCTGCGTCGGTGTTTCCCACTCTCACTCTGCGCCCGGCGCGGGAGACCACCAGCTCATCCGCCACGTAGCAGTCTAAGAACACACACAGGCAGCTGAGAGGAGGCGCTCAGACACGTGGATGTAGTTCTGGGAAGAGACGGGAGCAGCTCCAGACCCACCTGCACCCACGCTGTTCCTCACCATGGCCATGGAGCCCACCACCTTCAGGTGCTTAGGCTTCAGGTAGGCTAAAATCTGCCCAGTGGAGTGAGAGTTGAGTGAGAGGGGAGCGCCTTTTAAAGCCGAGGCCCGGGGCGGGGCTCGTTTACCTGGAAGAATCCGGCGACAGCCGCGGCGCCACACTTATCGCGGTGCATTCCGGCCATGACTCCGCCGGCCTTGATGTCTGCTCCACCCGTGTCGTAGGTGATGCCCTGGAAGCGTCACACAAGAAACAACCAGCGTTTATATAGTGGTTCCACATAGAAAGCAATATTCCTTAAATACATTAGTTGATCTAAAATCAACCAACAGTTACTCACGTTATCTAAAACATCTCAATCATTTCTTCTGTATAGCTCTTACAATTCTCTCAAATTATTTCAGACATTTTTATGAAGTGGAAAAAGCTTAAAAATGTCAGCTACAACAGCTATTAGTGCAACTTTCTGAAATATAACAACCAACAGATGTTAGGCTCCATTTACGGTCCCAGAGGAACTCATAACAGGCATTTTGAAGGGTTCATCTTTTTGTTCATGTGGTATTTATCCACACACAGATGTCCAGCCTCACCTTTCCCACCAACATGAGGGTCTTCTGGATGGGTCCCTCTCCGCAGTACTGCAGCTTGATGACCCTCGCCTGGTGTCTAGGTACACCTTGGATAGGAAAAAAAATAATCAGCGAATGTTACAGGTCAAGTGTCTCCAGGACCATATTATTAATTAATCATAGGTGAAGATGAGGTCTTACAGTTGGCACAGCGGTTGACTGCAGCCAGACAGGGATACTCTTTCTCCAGGGTCTTCAGGTCACTCACCACCTCCACCTGGAGGCGAACACACACAGGCTTGGGGCTTGAAAAGCACCTAAACAACTCATTATTTCCACATTTAGTTGACTATCTCCGTTTTGCCCACAGAGCATCCTAACTCACGCGAACGGGGCTGTTTTTGAACATTTCCTGGACGTATTCAGCCACACGGGGAGCAGCCATGCGTTCAGGGTCTGAGCCGCCTATGTCACGGTAGGCCAGCCTGAGGGGGGGAGAGCAGGACAGCACCGGGTGAGCGGACAGCAGAACAAACTGTGGGGAACCGGAGGGGCCGGGGTACCGCTGTCGTGTCACCTTCCACTCTCCAGAGCGTTGGTCAGCTCCACCAGCCTCCTGCCCTTAGCCTCCTGCGGGCTCCACAGCCCCAGGACACACACTTTGTAGTCTGACGACTTTATCTTTGCCTCCCGGACTTCCAGTGGCTGTTGAGCAGAGAATGGATACATGGAGTACATTTCTATTGGTAAACACGATCAATTTTCATGTTTGCAAGTTATTGGCCCTGGTCAACCCACGAAGCAGCATCATAATTTCTCATTTAACATTGAAGGCATCACTGGCTTTAATGCATCTGTCCCCAAACTGAAAGGGTTACTTCAGAAACTTAGTATTGTGCTGTCATTAAAGGGACTAAATTACAGAAATTTATAACACGATGAATCAATGCTGCAGAAATTTCAAAGAAGATTTCCCTCTTTTATTATTCAGCTAATGTTTTGTTACCATATAGAGAGCATGGAGGCCCCCCATAGCAGCCACCAGGGTGCTGTTCTTATAGTTTGCGTGTGGAGGGCACACCAGCAGGGGGCGCTGCATGCCAGCTTTCAAGGCCCTGAAAAGACAAAGCAGCAGAGCAGCCTGTTGGCAAAAGGACTATTAAAACGGACCGGGAGCAGGAAATGATCAGGCTCCCGTTAACGGACCGCTTCATGCCGTTGACGGCCGCGTCGCTGAAACGTCGGATGTCATCGTAATCACGATTGACGGGCCCGGTGGAGGAAAACACCAGCCGGTTTCCAGGGAGACCGGGAACCTTCAGGACCACCACCTCCTCCCCCAGGCCACTGTCCACCTAGACGGGAAGCACCATCACAAACCAAGACAACATCACTCTGGAGCACCAGATTAGCAGAGCCACAGCCAAGATCTTTAAATCTATTTGCTGATCATTTGGGATTGCTGGGTTTATTACCGAACAGTTCAATTTATAAAATAAACTCAGTCATAAATCCAAGGATATAATGATAATTTTTATGCAACAAAGTATTTTCCAGTGTTGTCAACCATTGGAATAAGATTTACAAACACATTTCCAAACATAGTTTTGAAGCGATCCAATTTCTTATAGTTTTTTTTCAGTTTTCAGTCTAAATCTGCCTTAAATGCATGCAGTTTTACTCATAGACTGCAAAATCATAACACTAAACTGAATGTAATAAAATAAATGCAAAAGCAGACACGTACGGAGCTGTAGTCTTCCAGTGGGGCTTTCAGACACTCCAGCTCTGGAGGCAGGGTGTTATGGTTCTGGGTCACTAAAATGATGCCATCGAAGCTGGGAGGAAAACAAAACAACAGCTCATCATGACTGTATGCAAAAGAAACGGACCCGGCCCACAAACTGAGGCCCACAGAGGAGGAAATGGATCCGTCTGAATACTCACTTCTGGTTCTTGAGGTCAGTAGTCCACTCGGTGGGTTGGACGCTACAGAGAGAAGCAAAGTGAGGTGTCAGGAACAATGTTCAACAAACTGTTGATTGCTTCCATCAGATGGAGTGATGCAACCACTCTTATCTCTGACTGGGTAATATAGGTTTATGATAACTGAGTGAATCCAACCTGTCGGACTGTCCAGGTCAGCTTTAAAACGTTTAATTAAACTAAGTGCACCTACGTGATTTGTGAAATTGTGCCAGAAAATATATGCTTATGGGTTTAAATGTCATTTCATTCTTGTGACTTAGACAGAGTGCTGGGTACAATATCACTGGGCTGAAAGATAAAGGATTTTTGATGATAATGCACATTTGTTCAGACGTGTTTGGAGTCATATGACACAAAAACGAAAGTGTCGATTCTGCAAAACGAGCTGAAAACTGAACCCATATTAAGACCTCAAAAGCAACATGAGAGGATCAGATTGTCCAACTTTAATCTCCGAAAACTAAACATGGTTTATTCGCTAAAGATCAACATGCATAAAATAATCAAATTAAAGAAAAAAGGCGTGGAGGATAGGAGTGTTTTCATGATAATGATAAAAAAAAACCTTATTGAGACTCTTTGTTTGTTAGTTCTTAGCATAAAAATCTCCCCCAGCGGAGAGTTGCACGCGGGGGATCCGTCTAAACCTGGAGCAAATCATTATTTTACAGATTAATAAGTGATCGACAAAAGCTTTACTCCTACCTGGTACACATCGTTGCTCCTCTTCGCTGTCTTTGTGGTGAAAGAGAGCGAATGACTGGTGACAACCGCTCCTTCCCTGTACGGCACCACGGCTGGTCACGTGATCCACCGCTCCAAGCCCGTGTTGCCTTTACGGTTATATGTAGGTCGTTTTTACGACATCTAAGCCGGAGAATGCATATGTGGAACAACACCGTGCTTTAAATGTGCTAAATGACACAGTTTAAGTTCATCTAGGCAACAAGATAGTGATTCATAGGTTATTTTAATCTAAAAAATTGACATTTCTTTCGATGCTCACAGTAGTTCGGTGTAATGGGGTTAAATTCCCGTTGCACGTTAATGTAAACATGAAGGCATTATAGGGAACTGTAGTTTTAAATGATTATTAAAGTTTCCATTTGAACATCGTATCAGGATTATTGAAACATAAAACCTAAATAATTATGTTAAACGTTTTCCTAACAATAACCACGTGTATTATATGTTACCGTATCTCACATTAACATGGAGTGACCTCACGAACTACAAACGCAAACCGGAAGTAGATGAATGTCACGCTTTCTGTGCAGAAACACGGAGGTGAGTATTGACTGGTGAAGTACAAAGGGCAGAAAGAAGCAACAGCTGTGGTTGTTCAGTGGCACACTCCTCTTGAGAAGCCGTTAATCTTAAAAAATAAGCTGTGAGCAGCAGGTAGGTTGAGTCTGTGCAGTGTGGGGGATGTTTTATCTGATGAGAGCTGCAGCAGGAATACTGACATTAAATGCTTTGACACCATGCTGGTAGATTTTTACTTTAGAAAGTGGTTTGGTTTCAGGTCAGATGTTGCTTAGTTATTGCTTAACCTGCTCGCAAACTGTGATTACATAAAGACTTGGTTTTGACTATAACTTCTTTGGCTGCAAGTTTAATTTATTTGGAATGATAGTACATACTTATTTGTTGTTTTAGCTACTGAAAGTTCACCCACTTCATCAGCAGCTGTGCAGCTTAAGTGGAAGGGAAGAGCACGTTTCTTTCTTTCTATTATTCTTTTTTTTAAGGTCCCACTCAGTTTATTCTTTAAAGAGCACATCTTCCTCACAGGAGTCCTACGAGGCCATGCTCTTATCGTACAATTTATTATTGCAAACATTAATAATACAATTAAATTGAGCTTCACAAGTGGTGACAAATATGAAAGAAAGCCATCCAGCTGCTCTTTAAGAGCCTAAAAAAGTTTTTATATAAGGGCTAATGGACACCAGAATGCATCGTTCAGAAACAAGCTGAGCAGAGCTGTGAAAGCAGGATATCGGAGCCCTACAGCCAAAGACTTCATGCAGACTTTAAAGCTCTGTGGATCATTAAAGATGAAACACTCCCTTCATCAAGAATTGGAGTTCCTGGCGTCAGGGTAGCAGCACAGAGCATCTATTGTGAAGATAAAAACATGAAGGGCTGTTTTACCTCATAATCAGTTACTGTAGTCAGCAAATGACATCAAACAGCTGAGGGTAGCTGCACAGGCGTGGGAAGACTTTACCGGGAACACCAAGGGCTATTTTATTGCCCTGACTGGACACAAAAGTTCTTCTATGCTTTTGACTTAGTTTTTTTTATATTTTAGTGAACCGTCAAAGCTCAATGACATTTAAATAACCCGGCATAACCTTTTTTGTTGTTGTTATTAAAGAGATATCAATAAATAAAAAAATTTTTTTTCCAACATAAATGTCTTAAAGGTCCTGCTGTAATTTTTATCTCACCACTCCAACAGATGAGGCTTCCTCTCGGCGCCTTTACCGTCTTCAGGAACCCCCCCTTTCAGAGCAGAGCAGTGGCCATCTTGCAGAGGGGCCTGAGCGGTGCAGCCATGCGTCTGGTGCAGTTTCGCCGTCAAGGCGACGGAGACGCCGTCAGGGTGGGCGTGGAGCAAAGCGGGGGGCTGAGCGTGGTGGACCTAAAGGAATTTGACTCCTCCATGCCCTCCACAATAAGGGGACTGCTGGAGCTGGGAGACAAGGGCCTGGAGTGTGCACAGAGGTTTCCCACACCTTCTTACTCATGTCTGTAACTGATGTAAGGCGTCCTTTGTCTTTTTTAGGCTAAATCCTTTGCCCTGTTTGTTACTCAGAGCGCTGGCGTCCGGTCAGTGTGCGGTGGACCGAACGAGCATCCAGCTGCTGTCTCCCATTCTGTCCCCTGAGAAAGTGGTGTGTGTGGGCATGAACTACAGGGACCACTGCCTGGAGCAGAATGCCCCCATCCCAGAGGAGCCAATCATCTTCAGCAAGTTCCCGAGTGCCATCACTGGGCCGTATGATGACATTATTCTGCCCTCAGAGAGCCAGGTGAGAACAACCAAACCTCATATGCCAACTAAAACAGAATTTTGTAGATATTTGTGTGACAGTAAAAAGTAAATGAGTTCAATACATCTTTATTCTCTGTATAAAGAAGTCAATAACTCCTGTTTATGTGACATAGAAATCCTGCATTCCGTAACATCCGTGTTCCCATAAGTCACACCACGTGTTGCGCAGAAATATGTTTGACCACTAGATGGCACTGTGGTACAACAGTAGATAACTAAAGGTTCAAATCAGAGGGTTTAATAGTTTTCAATGAATCCCCAGAGATGGTTATATAATTCCTGATTAACATTACGCCATATTAACTTCAAGTGTATCCAAATGTGTCTGATCATTAGTCATAATACAGAAAAGTGTAAGAACACGTAGAAGTTTTTCGCAGGTGGGAACGGCCGGGCGGGGAAACATGAGGGCAGAATAGGGTTATGCGTTTGTGAGATGCGTTACAGACAACATGAATTATAGATTGTCCTCTAGAGCCTCGATAGATTAGAAAGCCGACAGTCCATTCATTTGTTAGAACGGTTTCGGAAAGCGACAGATTTCTTTTGTTTTTTCATCCCTCTCTTGGAATCTTCACTTGGGACAAATCGAAAAAAGGCATTAACAGGTCTTGGTTCATTTATTACTTTTGTCAAAGCAGAGACTGTGCGGGATGAGTGATCCGTTTGATGTTTTATTCTGCCAGTAGAGCGGGACGGACTGCCCGTAAATCCTGGTAAAGCGTTCGTACGTCTTCTCCTGGAGGAGATAAACTTTGTGGGAGAAAATCTAAAACCTGCCTGCCCGACTTTGATGGGATCAGATAGCAGAGGTTGAGATGTGGTCCCGGGCCGTGTTTTTGTGTTGATGCTGCTGTGTTAACAACACATCTGTCACAGAGACAGCTCACAGCCATTGGCAACAAACTGTCAGAGATCAGTCCCCGTCAATTGGTGAATGAGCAGGAAGGTGACACATCGCTTCCCCTGTGTGTGCAGCCCGGTGGAGGCTCATGACTGGACAACTACTACTTTTTTGTGTGTGTGTGTACTGTGTTTTTGAAGAAAACTTCACTCCAGCATGCCTTTGAGCCGAGTACTAAAACTAAAACTAAAATTCAAATGCAGACATGCATATATAAACGCATCAGATTAGAGATCTTCCCACTTAAAAGTTTTCTGAAGGATGTTTGCTTTCTGTACTTTTGCTATCTCGCTAATATAAGATAAAGGATTAAAACACTCATATAATTAGAGGATAAGTGAGTTAAACAGAAGCTCATTTGAGCGCAGACTTTAGGCTAAAAGAAAAAGAAAAATATGCAGCAGGTCATCTGCATAATATCCATGAAACTCCCCGTGCTCTGGCCAACATTTTTGTTTTTCAATCAGAAATTTTCTGACCATGAAAATGGAGAGGGTGCGAAAGATGGAACCAAAAATTAATTAACAGTTTGAAAATTCACAAAATTTTAGAAGCCATGCCAAAAAAAAAAAGTTTTACAATGACATTGACTGAACATTTTAGGTTGCTGAGTCTTTAGTGAAACAGTAAATGCATCTCCTGGAAGAATTTGACTTTGTCCCAATCGAACGTGAAGTAGAAAGGGGGAAAAGGTGGGGGAGAACTTCCTTAAAAGTCACATGTTCTGTTTCTTGTATAAAAGAGTGTTGCTCTTTTATTTAGTGCCTATCAAAAGTTCAAACAAATCGCAAATATTGGGATTCTGCTAATTTACCATGTTCATAACGCCATCGAATTACAACCAGTGACAGAAATCCCGTCAGCAGACAACATTCAAGATTAAATTAACTGATTTTTGTTTCAAAACCAGCATTAAATGATGGATTTTTTGGGGTGGAAACTCTGGACAGAACTCAGCTAGAGGAGTGATGTCGTTCTCTAATGTAAAACTCAGTCATCAGTGAAGCAGAGAAAACTCTAAATCTGCTTCCAAAAAAAAGAAGAAAAGCACAACGTAGTTTGTTCTGATGGCTGAATAGATCTCAGGTTTGTCGGCTCACTGCGTTAGCCCCGAGACATTCTGTGTACGTTCACATCATATGATGTTTGCCACTCATTTGATTTCTTTAAATTGCTCGTTGGAGTGTGCTTTTTCCTTCTCACCTCAACCCTGGATCTCCTCTGCCCCCGCAGGAGGTGGACTGGGAAGTGGAGCTGGCCTTTGTGATTGGCAGGAAAGGCAAACACATCCAGGTGAGCGCCGCCTCTTCTCCTCTGAAGCTATTTAGCCGAGAACCTGCCCTCACCCCGGCTGCTCTCTTGGTCTGGCCCCTTCAGGAGGAGGAGGCTCTCTCCTACGTGGCCGGGTTCACCGTGGCCAACGACCTGAGCGCCCGCGACTGGCAGATGAGGCGCAACGGGAAGCAGTGGCTGCTGGGAAAGACCTTCGACGGCTTCTGCCCGCTGGGCCCCGCCCTGGTGACCACGGATGCAGTGAGCGGTGAGAGGAGAGCCGAGTCAGAGCAGGAGCAGAGGGGGGAGTGAACATCCTATAATTATCTGTAATTTCTGCTGTCAGTAAGTTAATTAACTCGGCAAATGGCTGAAAAGTGTTCGTTGTGCGACTATGAAACAGGGAAATGAGAGAATACTGTATATATTTAAATCTGTCATGTATATTATTGAGACTTTGACATGATCACAGGACAGCTTTTAGAGCATACTCTGAGCCGTGTCTCCATGTGTGCGTTTTCACAGCTTCAGATGACGAAACAGACGTCTAAATTGAAAAAAATGTGATCGTATGGTTTACAGACTGAAGTGGGATCAGTTTGTCAAAGAAAAATGAATGGAAACCATGTTTCAGCAGTAATCCTGAGAGCCAGAATGAGCCACAGTTCCACAATCAGAGCGCTGGTGGCCCTCATACAGGGACCTCATCGATAATCTGCAACATAACTGTGAAAAGTCCAATGTTCACTCTTCACAGATGCAGTACAGAGGTCGGTAATGGGAAGAAAAAAAAACACTCAACCCCCACAAATAGCAACCGGAACAAGAAAGAAAAGCTAGGCATGCAGCATTGACCTTTGGGATAAAACATTAAAAAGCTTTATGTCAGAGCTCAGATGGGATCCAGCATGTTGGACTGAGCCTGGTCAGGCCTGCTGCTGGGGAGTCTGGAGGTGGGAGGGGGGGGGGGGGGGGCAGAAGGATAACACTTACCTGTAGAGCCATGCATAAATTGTGGGATGGACAGAAGGCAGCCAGAGTCTTACAGCAGGGCAGAATGGAACTGATCCAGATGAGAGCGATCCATGGGGTCAGATTTTAAGAAACCGGAGATGAAATGATTTTAAATCCGTTCAGTTTCTATATACAGCAAATATATATAGTTACCAGTGCTCTCGTCAAAGTTTTACTTATCCTATTCTTTTTTCTTTTAATTAAATTTATTTTTTAAGCGTATCAGCTCCAGTAAAAATTTTGCTGTGTCATTGTATAGTTACAGACAATAGTAGCATCCGTCTTGCTTCGTGTGACGTTCTTCCCTCAGATCCTCACAGCCTGGGCATCCGCTGCCTGGTCAACGGAGAGCCGGTCCAGAGCAGCAACACTGGACAGATGATCTTTAAGACAGCGGCGCTGGTGGCATGGGTCTCCAAGTAAGTGGACTGGGCCTAAATGGTGGTGACTACTGCGTGTAGGCGGGGAAACTTCTGGCACCGTCTCAGTGCCCTCAGCGCCTCTCTGGATCTGAGCAGACCGAATGACTCTGTGATTCACTCCAATGCAGAGAAATGATCACAACTTTAAAAAGTAAACCCCTGTTTGCCGATTGGTTCTTCAGGTATTGATAACCCATGTTTGCTGTAAGCCCCAAGCACTGTTAAGTTTCTCCTCTCCTCAGGTTTGTGACGTTAACTCCAGGAGATGTGTTTCTGACCGGTACCCCTCCGGGGGTGGGCGTGTTCAGAAAGCCACCCGTGTTCCTGAAGGTGATTCCCCACACAGAAGCACCACTTTAATGCTCCAAAACTTTGGAGTTTTAGCCCCGTTTCAAAAATCAACCAAAACAGTGAAAGCTTCTGATCTGAGGAAACAAAGATGCAGTTATTTGGAAACGCAGCCTGAACATGTTAGCAGAGGAAAGCAGACCCTGATGATCAGTGTCCCAAAGGCAAGCACGGTGATTACCGCATCCTTCTGCCCCGATGCGTCTCTGACAGAGCCCAAAAAAGTCATTACGATGGAGGGAAAAGATAAAAGTAGTCCAGGGCAACAAAGAAACTCCTGACATAAAATTTAATTTTTTTAATCCCCCAAAATGCCCACGTATATACTTTATACATAACTTTACATTGTGATTCACAGGCATCAAGTTAAAGATTAACCTTTTTTCAGTGTTATCAAGAAGGCTTTATTTTTAGAATGAAAAAGCCAGGAAAGCTTTTATTGTTTGACCTTTGTTCGTTATTGTGAACGCATGTGCTGTCAAATTATGTTGACCTTAAAGGCTGTAAGGAGCACAGATTCATTAAAAAAAAAAAAAAAACTACTTTGGGAGTCGATTGATCATCTTAAATTGTGTCGGAACTACAAGAAGGAAGTTTCTGGATAATCCTCTTTTTCACAGGACGTGTGAGCGCCCCAAAGTTTGGTGTTGAGAAAAAAAAGATGTCCCCGAGATCTCGGGACAAGCTGCCCGACATGGGAAAATGTAAGAAAGGTCCACGTGTATTTTACAGAGGTGCTTCTGTTGCTTGCAGAAAGGCGACGTGGTGGAGTGCCAGGTGGACCAGTTGGGCTCCATCATCAACAGAGTGGTGTAAACCCCGGCCCAACACGCTGTGGAGGAATGCGAGCGGCTCTATTACCTTGTTACTGATCACAATCTGCTTCTCACAATGACCCGGAATCAGCGGTAAATGTGGGAAAACATACGTTGCCTGATGACTGTTGTAGCTGCGACTCTTCGTAGCGGTGAGGAGGGAAATCGTGGTATTTTTACTCCACGAAACTCTGCAATTAAGTGACTCAGCCACTGAGTCACTGATCACTGGCTGTAAAAGTGTCCATCAGCAGCCACCCACTACGTGCTACACAGCAGAAAACTGTGAACCCCCTGACTTTTTTAAATAAAAAGTTATTCTGCTCGTGTTTAACTTTGAGGGATTTTGCATGAATTCTTTATAATCAACAGGACTCCCATGAAAAGAAAAGCAGATTACCTCGTTATAGAATTTCATTAAAATACGCCAGGATCAGAGTTTGCCCTTCAAATTGCCTCGGAGAAAATTCCCAATAATGACTCTGTTTCTGTTCACTTCATTTTTGTTTGGCTAAAGTCACAGAAGGCCCTTTATTTCGTGGACATTCCCTGAATTCGTGCGTCCTTTGACTCCTCGTCTGTGTTGTGTCGAGGAGAATCTGGTAATTGAGTTTGACTGCTGAGTGGATAGTAATTTGTGAAATGTTTAGATTCAAAGTTAGGCACTTCAGTGGATGAATTAGGCATATTATTCTGTCTGAGGAGAAGGGGCTGTTTTTTTTCCAGGCTGTGAAGGCAACTGCTGTGCTGCTTATGAATATATATAAATATGTTTACAATTATAATGACTAGTGTGAGAAATATCTTTGTTATGCTCCGGTGCTGCTTCTATTCATCACCTTCTATCAATATTCATACTCGAAACCAGAGGTATCTAAAATATCCACGCACAGCTAATCGGATTTGTTCATAGGCATGCTGACTGTTGTAGTACAGTTCAGAATGATTCATTTTGAAACCATTCAAACCAAAACCTGTGTGGTATTTAAATCAAAATATGGATTTGGGTAATTGCTGCCGTTGGTGGAGAGTACCGCTTACAGCCAGCCTCAGTTTCGACACTGGGTGGCAGCAAGTTGCTGCAGTGGCTGAGGGGTTAGTGCAGGAGGGACGGACAGCAGCACTCACTGCCCACTGTACAAACAGCCGGCTGTAAACGGCTAAAACTTAATGCCAGGCAGAAGATGTCCCCGCCGCGGGGAGGCATTGATTTGTCCCGTCCCCACGATGTCCAAAGGTCTATGTCAGATACTTTGAGGAGGTCTGACTCAGCACAGAATGATCTACATTCAGGAAGAGAGCACACTCAAAATGATGAGCGGTGTGGGGGGAAGCACATTTAATGTCCAACTGTAAAGAGGTTCCCTGGACATGAGCTGAATTGAACATCATTCTTTAACTTCTCAGGTGCAATAAACACAACATTTGCAGCTCTGATCAAAACAAACACTGGAACATATGTTGGCCCTCAGACCTGAGGACTGATTACAGGGACTTCATAATCCTCGTCTCCTGCGGTTTATGCTAATGCTATTACTGAAGATGAACTTAAAATCAATGCCTCGTGGAAGAAATCAAAAATGCAATTACCTTAAGACACGCATCTTATTTCTGCGTGCCTATTATTGTAATTTTTCTTTAACTGAACAGAGGCTCCCCTGACACCGACAGAAGGAGAAGTGAGATTCATGCGACAGAACAAAGCCGAGTCAAAGCCTCCAGTCAGGCCTCGCACTTAAAGGCATTAATTGTACATGTACTGTGAGATGAAGCGCAGCAGTTTCTGCCTGTTCTCTGACGGCTGGAACAAAGGACTAACGCCCAGGAAGATGCCTCCCGCCTGACGCCTCTCCAAAAGGACCTGAATTGAACATAATGAACATAAACACGGCGAGGTTAGAGGACACTCCATCCACAGCACTTTTTGTTTAATAACCATTATCGGGACTGTGTGAGGGCTCAGCTTTTTAACTTGAGGAGTGTGCTCTCTGCACAGAGCACTGTAAAGTAACAGTCGAGATATAAACAGAACAATTTCATAATACTTGAAACGGGGAAGGAAAACAAAGCTCTAGATTTTGCATAAAGAGGTTTGAAATAATGAGGCCAAAGGAGAGAGAACATTTAGTCTGTGGCGTCCTGTCTTTTCTTTCACAGCCACTTCCACACAAGACACAGATTTCCTCTCTGACTTGACATGTAGGTCCTGGACCTCCTGCTTCTCTGGCATCTGGGAGCAGAATTAGCTGTCAGACTGTAAAAGACGAGTATGACAACGGCCAGTCCTCTCTGATTGCCTCGATTATAAAGTTAATAACTGCCACAGGGGGATCTTTGCAGATATATGGGTCAATGATGCTCTATTTTTATTTTTTTAAAGGAACCAACTCTGAGCTGGGAGAGGAAACTGAAGAGAACAATCCTGGTCTGCTGATGTGCGAGTGCTGAATAACCAGAAAAGATCATTTGTGCAGAAAGTTTGAATGAGATTCCATATTTCCAGAGAATACAGCGTGTTTTTTCAAAAGTCTGCCCTCTACAGCAGATGTTCTTCACCACAGATGTCAGCCTTCAGTGCCCGTCAGCCAGAGTACAACACCATTTCATTATTTTCTGCTGCCATTTGCAGAATCTACAGATGGCAGAAACAACACGCGCTCATTTTATCTGATCATAAAAAACACTTATTTGCTTCTTTTCTAGAAATGTAAGAAATGAAACTTTCCTCCCAGACTTGAAAACTGCCACAGTGTGATAAACTTTCACGATAAAAATGCAGACTTAGTGGTGTCATCAAATGTCTGTCCTTCCTCTGTGTGTTTTCGCATCAGGCTATCTCACCACCCACAAAAAAAACAAGAAATATAAGCAAGAAATAACTTTCCATACTGTGTCACCATAACAACGCAGATAATGACGGCCTTCCAGGAGGAAATCCCCTACATCTAAAATGTTAATAGGAGATTTTCTTTTAAAGTTGTTGGTTGACGTAAATAAAAACAGTGAAAGACTCCTGGAAAGTCTGGAAAATGATTGCTCATAGCTACTTTAGATTATGACATGGAAGTCTGGCTAATTGGATACAAGATATAAAGAAAAGAGGAGTGGGTCAAGACTTCTAAATGAATGCAGTACTGTTGCAAATAAAGACGAATAATTGAGAGTGATGCATCCCTAATTACAGTCATTGTCATTTCAAGAGGTTTAGTTCCCCGTTATAAAGCATTACAAATCATTTGTGTCTCTTCTGAAGGTGAATATCTCTTCTTAAATCAAGACTAGATATGGATGGCTTCTATATTCTATGGCATTAAAGGGCTGGATACATGTTTGTGGCTGGGGGTTTTGGAATATATTTAAAAACCAGGCTGATTATGAGGTGTACAGGGGCCATTTCAGATCAACTGAGAATGCATTAATCTTAGAACTAAACTTCTTGACAGCTCGATGATGCTCTATTTGTCATGCCTGAGTGAAACTCCAGTTCCCTGCAACATTTATTGGACTGGCATGCATAAATCTACAGAAACACATGGTTCGTCACTCACCCCGAGGTCTAGGAGTGTTCTGACTGCAGTGTGTGCTGCTTCCTCTGAACAGCTCTCTGCGAGGCACAGCACAAAGGCACACGTGAATAAAAAGAAAAAAAAAAACAGGCAGATAACCAATATAGAAATCCAGGTCAGGATAACAGAACAAAGCCACCACCAGTGGGACAGTCATTTTTATACAGTGGATTATTGAGGGGTGCCATTTGGGTGGATTCTCTCTGTCTTATGTGTTATTAGAGTATGAGGGTGTGTGATGGGAACATGGGGGCTGTTCTGCGTCTCCCCCTGGTCAGTGCAGATTTGTAACAACACTTACTGATTCAGAGAAAACAGGCAAGGTGGCAGAGCCTTTACAATGAACCTTTGTGCGAGCGTGTGTGTTTAGGGAGAGGACGTCAGGACGAGCTCACCGTAGTGCCGTTTCTTCTGATTTGCCATATCGCAGAGGAAGGAGTGTATCTGAGACAGAAACTCTGCTTCTGCAGCGGGAGGGAAAAGAAAATGAAGGCATAACTCCGGCAAAGTGATTGCAGTCTGCTGAGAAAGTGTGTATGCTCCACTACCACCCTGCACATTTGTGATTGGTTCAGTCGGTCACTGCAGATCATTTACAGTGAAAGTTTTAAAAAAACTAGGCAACATCAGCTTTCATTTGAGCTCCAATGCTTTTGATTTAAAGGGGAACATGAAACCCAATACCTTCATCCAAACATGGAAGAAGTTTTGCAAACTCAAAGCAAAGTTTCCCCAAAGATAATCATTACCATGTTTAAAGCCCTCACCGGCCAGAGGAGTGTCCATGAGCTCCAGAGCAGCGGTGGTCCAGCACAGCGCCCTCAGATGTCCAGCTAACATACTGCAGAGGAAGAAGAGCATCTCCGGACACTGAGTTGGCTGACTTATCTAGAAATAGAGACAGTGAGCAGAGAAGTGGTCAAATCAATGTGAGAAAGAGCATCACTGAACTGGGGGGTGGGGGTGGGGTGGGGTAGGGTGGCAGGGTAAAGTAGTTCTGAAGGATGCAAAGGTATCGCACCATGCCAACAAAAAGAAGAAGTTAGCAATTATTTCAGTGTTTTATAATGTCAGTATCTAAATTAGTGTTGTCTGAAGAAAAGTGTAAAAAAGAAAAAAAAAAAAAAAAATTTGTGGGAATTTAGTCAGTCCAACTGTTTCCTTTGAAAGTGATGTAATGTAATAATAATAATAATAATAATAATAATGTAATTTCCAGAGTGTCAAAGTATGGATTTTAATCAGTTTTTATGATTAATCTGCATTATACTGATGATAGTTTGATCATTAACGCTGTCCCAATTAAGTTCTACTAAACTACAATGTCCAACAGACAGCAGCTTATAAAGTAACTTCACAAAGTGTTTTTTTTTACGGTAAAAAGCCCAATGTTTCCATAAACATGTCTCTCAGGATTAGACCCAAAGGTAATGAATCACGACGGGTCCACAGAGAGAAAGCCATATGTCGCTGCGAGGTATTGTAGCCACCGTGCTGGCTCAGTGGTGTTAATTAAGTCTGGTGGGGTTAAATTCTGGGGAATAACACTTTCTGTAGCACATATAGGCCACCATCACAGCCATCCCCTCCTTGCTTCACAGGGGGATCCACACATGTACGTTAAAATTTTAAATACAGACTCGGCGGACCAAAGCTCAGATTTTGGGCGCGCACGGTGTTAAATAATCCTGTTTTTCTGGCCCGAACGGTTCTCTCGCTCTGGTTAATCTTCCTCTGTGGTGGCATGGTTGCAGCAGTCTGACAGTGATGGCTGACTCTCAGTCTCCTCTGAACACTTGATGTTAAGAAGCGCCTGTCATTTGAACTGTGCGATGCATTGATGTGGGCTAATCTGCTGCGGGGGTTGGGGGGGGGACTCCTGGTCTACCTCTCCTGAGGCGGACTGCTTGAGAGCAAGTTTCGTCATCGTGTTTGATGGTTTGTGTGACTGCACTTGACGAGGCTTCCTTGACATTTTTCTGAGCCGACTGACCCTCATGTCTCGATGTAACAACACTTTTTTCCTTAATTCACCAGGCAGCTGGTGCCCCTCAAGCAGCAGTATCCTGTTTACCAACATTTCCTAAATAAACCCTTATTAATGCACTCAAACTGAAAGAAGACATGGCTGCTCACTACTGTTAACCTGGATGTTTGAAACATTAAAACATTTTGAGATTCTGGAAGCCAGTAAACACCTAAAACATCAGTCTAACAAAATTTGTTTATTTTATGGATCTGTTTAAACATTATCTTGGGTTGTATAATTCCCTTAATCATCACTTCGAAATAGAGGCTTTACTTCTAAACCTATGCACATGAAACAAGTGAATACGAGTGCTGACACTTTTTCCCATCCATGTAAGCTTCCTTTTCGTGTCACGAGTGCTCCGCCTTTTTTGTGAGTCAAATCTCATCATTTCAAGTTGAAAGTCTCTTTCAAAAAGCTTTTACTCTTGCTAGGGGTTGCTTTTCTTTTCAGCGGGCTGATCACAGGAGCACAGAGTATTACCATGTAATCAGGAAATGCAATAATAAAGGTCTCCTGGCCGTGCCTGACTCTCTGCTGGGCCCGACCTAGGCCACAACACATCAGACAGAAATAGTAAAGAAAGAAACTCATTTATAGCAACACTATATTTTCCACAGTGGTAATATTGATGTGCTGGTGATGAGCCTGAAACATTCTGTTGAAATCAGACTCCCCCCACACAACGCACACTTCAACAGATCACACGCAACATCTGAAGGGCCATTCATCTTCCTGACCCCTCCAAAGGGAGTCTTGATAAAAACGGTTACATCTTTAACCTCAAAGAGGACACGAGGAGGGCTGCTTTAGTTGGATTTGATATGGTGTTGACACACGGCAACCTTAACTTGCTCTGTGGAGGTCAGAATAAGATGCGACGTGCTCATCTGCTGGCAATTTGAGGGTAAGCATCCACCAGTTGGTGCTCGTAGTGGAGAAATAATCAAACAGCACAAATAAATCACTCATAGCCAAAGGGGGGAACTGGTTCCTTATAAACAGAGATTAAAATGGAAATGCGCCATTGTTTGAGTGTTTTGTTCAAAATTTTATTAAACGCTGGCAGAAAGTACTTCTGAGAAGCCCCTCCTCTGCAAGAGAATACTGCTAAATGGACACAAGGTCTATTAAAAGCTGTATGTCTTCCCTTGTTTTAAGGACTGTGTTAAAAATGCAATGTATTAATGAGACAGGTCATTATACTGAGGGCTTAATGAAAGCACTATCATTACAATAATTCAGTGTGGAAATAAAAGCCAGCAGAGATTATGTCTGGAGTGCAGCTGGTCCTGTAAAACTGCTGTGTATATCTTTGGTATCACAAAGCCTTATAAGAGTCTCTCAGGGGAGGATTCACTTTACACTTTACTAGAGGCTACTGAATTGGTTTGCAGCAGGTATTTCAGTGCCCTTCTGTTATATACATACACTCATGCACTCGATCTAGTGTTGAAAGCTACATTTTTTTCTCTATTAGTGCTACATGGCATTTTTTCTTAAACAAAATGTGTAAAAAGGCCTGTCAGAGTAATTGGAGGTCCTTCATATTTTAATGAGATGGCGTTAGTTAGAAGGTGGGGCACATTTGATATCACACATTAACAATCACAATGTGAAAAGGTAGCATCTACAATTCCAAAAAAAAAAAAGGGAAAAAAAGCTGAAGGATAAAACTAACACGTGTTAGCTGACACGAACACATCCAAAACCTAGGTGTTAGTCACAAGATGCAAGGTGTGATGAGCTGTGAAACTGCCAGGGAAAAGGAGCCAAGCTTTCTTTTTTTAGTGCTGGTTAGGTGATACCAGAGGCCACTTGTACTGTAAACTATTTCTCCCATGTAACATAAAGGGCTTCTTTCTCTCCTTTTCAAAATATCCGTCTTTTCCTGCCTACGCTGTTTACATCACTGGCCTCAAAAGCACATCTCATGTAGAGATTTTTTTTGCCATTCATACAGAGGAACCAGGTTTTGTATGCCGATGTTGTTGGGTTTAAGTTCTCCAGGGAGAAAATCTTAAGTTTTTGTACACCAGTTCTATTTTCTGCTAGAGGGCCTGTGTTGCTCAATTAAAATGTGCTGGCCCAGTTTAGGTATCAGTAAATATTTTTGGGTTGTTCCCGGGTTTCTTTCCTTTATCCTCAAAAGTTGTACAGGGCACGCTGATCCCAATAAGGCAGAGATCTGATGATGCCTCGTTTGTGTTCCACTGGGCCATGTGCGTCAAAGAGGGCACACTGGTATTTACTGTTTAGCATCTGCACGGAGGTCGGTAGCTGATGCAGATGTTTAAAGGCACCTGGGTCACCATCCGAACCCATGAAGAAGAAGCTTTCACTGAACAGATCAGCTTAGTGGACACACACATGCTGAACCACACGCTGTATCTATTAGCAACTAAATACATTTGCAGCTTTGCGACATGAAAGGGACTCTGAATGTGGGGCATCTTTCAGACAAGAAGGGGTTTGTTTTCCAAAAGGTCCAACAGCTGGTGTACTTGGTTCTCAGACACTGTGTGCCTGTTATTGAAGTAGACTGCATGCTGCTCGCTGACAAACATGCCCCTGTAGCTCCCTTTTTGAGACCAAGTGTTGAAATCAAAGTCAAGATGAGCATGATGAAATTGTAATGTACCTGGTTGTCAACATTTGACGGGTTCTCTGAGTGCAACAGTGTTTAAAATGTGGGTTTATATGGTATGAAAATCCTCACTCTGGTTTTACTGGTCTTTTTCGGGAATTGGGGATGTAAAATGCCCTTTCATCGTTCAACATCATCCATCAGAGGGATGCATCAGTTTTGCAGGATGATTGCAGGCTGATGGAATCACTGAAATGTAATAAGATGCTGTACGATTCATCCCATAAAGATACTGGAAATGTATCTGCTTGATTAACTCTGAAACATCAACAATTAAACATTTAACAGATAAAATGCAAGTGTTGTTAGAAAACATAAACATCTATGTACACAAAATTAAGTTTTGGTCATTGGGTGTAAAATCAGGCTTTAAACCTCCACAACAGCAGGCTTTTCTGAGAGTTAAAGACTGTACTGACGTAATGTAAGCTGCTGTGAAAACCACCTGAACTGAAAGAAAAGTAAAACTACACAGAGAGGGGGATGGTGATTGGGGAATATTCTCTGTAGCTCAGTGTGGAGGTGTTTGTTGTTCTCATTCAGAACCTGATCTGAGGTGGAGAGAGGGAGAGGGACAGAAAGGGAGTATTGGCATAAAATACTTTGTTTGAAAGAAATGTTTCCACTCATGCGGGCGTCTTTGTGTTGTGGATAAAGCTGAAGTCAGACAACTGTTTTTTTTTTTTTATTTTTTTTTTTTAGCCAGTGTGGGTGGTAATGCTTTTACTGGACAGCTAAAATCAACATGGTTTACAACATTGGTTTACAAAAAAACTATTTCAATTGAAAAAATACATATAATAGTTCCCCACAAACCAATGGTATATAGTGTTTGAAACAGAAGAGAAAACAAGAGACGCTTGCCTTTCAGAACACAAGATTCTAAGGGAACTGTTAAATGCTTCAAATTTGTCATTATTTTAGCTTCAATTAGACGATTCTTCACCTGAAATGCAGTCAATACAAAGAAGGAAAACAGCTTCTCCATCAGGCTGGTGACTCAGCATCTGTCTTATCCCATCTGCAAGTTAAAGTCTATTTCAACAAAAACTCAATTACCCACCGTGGCTGAGCCAGAGCCTTACAGGGCATTGTTATCTACCTGTATGGGTCTTACATCTGCTCGATTTAAATTGTTTCACAGTGCAGGGAGATTATCTGTTTATACTTTCCTCTGTGCACACTGGCCTGTCTATCGAGGTCAAAAAGTAAGAGCTTTCGTTTTTATGGTGAAGAGCAGACTTATGCTTTATTAGCGGGACTGTTTTTTCTTGCGAGTGACACAAATCTATGCTGAATTTTGAATATGTTAAAAAAAAAAAATTTATCAGCACTTCTCCCCATTTTTCATTCGTTCTGTGTCATTTGTAGTTTGGGGTTACTCCCGAAAAGGTTTTTAAAGCACTTCTAGATAACTTTAGTCTTCAGTGTGTTTAGTACTTAACCTCAACATGATAACCTAAATTGCCTGAGAAAACATTTGATACGTATCTTTTCCTTTTCTCATCTGTTCTCATTCTCAACTTAGTGTTGTGCGTTCAGCTTATACTTGTAGGTATTAAGCCAGAGACAAAAGGACAAACCTCAATTTCTCTGCACAGTAGTCTACTTTAAGGTCACACAGCTTTTAGATATATCCAGAAGAAGAAAAAAAGCGTTGTATTGAAAAATTCAACATTGTCAGGGGGACTAGGAACACAGTTTTGTGAACGTGTGAAAAGATGTGTGGGAGACACATTGTAAAGCGCTTTGGATAAAAGGTCAACAAAAGCGCAGTCCATTTGCCACTCCACATCCCAGAATAATCTAATCAAACCTGAGGTCAAAATGTCCCATCATTAGTCCTTTTTCAGAGCTCAGAATATGCTGCCTGAGTAAGTGCGTGACCTTTTTTTTCATCCAGATGACAGGTTCCACCTGAAAACTTCCTCCACAGTTTAACGGCTTATTGAATATTCTTTAGTATTGCAAACTGATGAGCTAAAATGTTGTTTAAAAAAAAATCAAATAGATTAAAGCTAAAATAAATGTTGGGAGGTCAGGACTTACTGAAACAACACAGCTGCAGCCTTTAAACAACCTGAAAGCATCAAATGTAAAGAGGCATTAAATATCAAAACCCAAATGTCACAGTGAGACTGCAGAGTAACTTCTGTTCCCACTTGCAGACAAAAAAGAGCTGATAAATGAAGTTAATTCAGTACATTCAAGCGACTGATGGCAACCGTGCACTCCACGTTTTAACACAAGGCTGGAGGTAAAGAATAGGGTTGATTCAAAATCAAAACTCTTTGGTGCACTTGACAATGACTAGCAAAAATGTGTGGAAACTCACGTTATTATTTCAGAATGGCGTTGGCACATTCTAAATGCTGAGTCCTTTATACATTGTTTACTGGGACACACATTCTCTATCTAACAGTGTACTAAGAGCACTGAAGAGAACAGAAAAATCCTGTAAGGTTTTGATGTTTTTTTAATGAAAAGAAATCAATAGGGAATTAAATAAAAAAGTTTCACAGGTGGCAATTCAAAGTCACTTTGCAGCACCTTGAAACAGTGGTTGTTTGGGTTCCTTTTAAAACTACTGTTGCTTTGGGGAAAAATATAAATCCATATGTAGTTGGTATTCTTTTAAAGATGACACGCGCATTAATTGGCATTCAAACGATGAGATCCATTCATGTGGGAGCTTTTGTAATGGAGATTTAGTTACATCAAAGTTATTTTTCATGTTGTGTTTCCGGTATTTTTTGTGGGTGTCATGTAGGCTGTCACTCAGATCACTTGAAACAAATGTCTTCTCTCCGAACGCCATGTTTTCCTGTAGAAGAAAAAAAAAAGAGTCCCAGCAGAGCTCTGTGTCTACCTTGTATGAGCGCAGGTCTTGCTCCTCACAGTCAGAGTCGCTGTAATACGGGTCGTCGCTGGTCGTCCAGGACAAAGTACCCTCCTTCTTCCAGAAGTCACAGATGGGGACATCTCTAGGAATCTTGATGAAATGAAGTATTAAAGAGGATGATTAAGTTGAGACTAGATCCAATAGCTTCTTTCTAAACATTGAGAATGGCTTTGCTCAAATCTTGGGCAGCATTTGGAGAACATCTTTGTCAACAGAATTGATTCTAGTGTCAATACTGTAAGAGAACTCTAAAGAAAATTGCAATGAATGACGATGAGTTCCTGATGCATTTAGATTAGATTGTAGATGGACGAATCCTGTGTGCTTACAGCTAAAAAAATACCGCAATGGTGAAATGATTACTATCTTAAGGTATTAGGTGCATGAGGAAAGTAATGAGGATTAGGTTATTTTTTCATATGCAGTGTATAAACATACATAAAACATTGCACCTGAATAAATAAAAACCAAATAGAAGAAGGCAAATAAAGAACTGGAGGCTACACAGAAAGATGTAAGTGTACAAAAAAAGCAGATTTTGAATCATGAAATGAACATTGAATGTATATTTTCAAAAACAGTGCTGCTTTGCATTATGTAGGCTTTGAGGGCATAGTTTTTGGAAAGTTTTTTTCTTACTTCTTCCATGATCAGGATGCCGCAGCGAACCAGACTGTCAACAGCATCCAGAGCAAAGCTCTGGGACGACTGACAGGGCTGGAGAGATCAAGGATGCTTTAGCTTGGTGATAAAACACAGTTAAAGGCAGAAAGGGCTTCAGACCATCACCTATCTACCAAACGCAGGGAGAGACAGCTGACAACCATTATAAGGTGCGTAGTAGAGATGTAGCTGAGATATTAGGGGGAGAAGCAGAGGGAGCCAGCAGGGCGATGGGAGTGTGGAGGATTTTTTTTTTCGCCGTGAGAAATGGGGTGAAAAACAAAGCTACAAGCAACAGAGACAAAAGAGAGCAGCTGCCGAAATGAAAGGTGGGCAAACAGAAGGAAAAAGTATTACTGCCTCAGATTCTGAGCCCTTGGTGTCAGTGCGATGACGCACGTGCATTCACAACCACACGCACACAGGAATACAATCTAAAAACCTCTCTCTGCCTGAGATAGAGGCAGCGGAGAAGGATGAATGGCTGTTCAGCTCCATTAAACATCCATTGAATGAGACGCACTGGGTGTGTGTTTGTGTGATATGAATACAAACTCACTGGCATGACGCCCGGAGGCAGGAGATGGCAAAGCTGCAAGGCTTTCTCCGTCAGCTCGCTCTGGCCGAGCACCACATCAAACTCCATGTCACCTTTGACCTCCTCTCCCTCCGCGCCGTCAGCTCTCACCTTGCTGCTGACGCCACTGAGAACCACCTCGCAGAGCATGGCCGACACTGCACACGCTACAAAACAAAAGAACCCGACTGTTTGCTCCGGGGCATCCAGGTGTTCAGCATTATCCACCATAAAACAGGTCTCTGTCTCCCAGCTTCAAGATGTTACAATTAGGCTGAAATATGTGAGTTTGGGAACGCAGTCAGGAGCTGGAGAGCCTGTCAATAAGGTTTTTCGAAAGATATTCCAGCCTGCGGCCCCCTATTATCCTTATTTTTCTTGTGCTGGTGGGGAAATCCTAACTCCCCGTTTACATCCCGATGCACTGCAGTTTTCATGAAACCTGGTTTACGTTCCAATTGATTCTCCTTCAGGTGACACTAATTTGCAATTCATCACAAGCCTTGTAAATCTGAGAAAAATATCACGAAAGAGCTGTTTTTGTTGCTGTCTGAGGTTAGTGTCCATGGGTGAATGTATCACAAAGAGGCTGTCAGCAGCACGGCCCACTTAATCTATCTCCAAAACAGCCAGGAATAATGTATGGGACAAGGGAAGTAGCTGTCTACTTCAAAACATTCTTTTTCGTAAATCAGGGCTTCGGTAGCCCAGCCATGCCCGTCCGCATTTCATTTAGCAGATGGTTTACAGCTGCAGAATGTGGTCACTGATTTATAATATGCTCCTATTATCTAAATACTAGCGTGTAAAACTTTCCGGGAAACATTTTAAAGTAAAAACTGTACAGCTTGTAAGCCGTCAGCTGCTAAATAAAGAGAGACACAATGGCAGCGTCAAGACGTTTTCAGTTCAACTGTTTCACAAGTTTGGCTTCATCAGGAAAGGTTGTGAAAGAAAAGCGCCTTTTTTTCTTTTTAATGAAAAGTTGCACGTTATATTTAAATGATTTGAATCCCAGAGCCTTCAATGAAAGATTTTTCATCAAAGTAAGAACCACAAATGTTCAAAACAGCTGAGACATCCAATTATTCTGGAGTCTACAACAACCTCTCAAGTTGTAAAAAAACATTACAGCAGTCTGTAACAGAAAATGAGAAATGGTCCAAATCAGCACCCTGACACTCTGTGAAAACATGGAAAATTTTGGGTGTAAATGTACAGATTTAAAAACTGCTAATCCATTCTAATCCATAAAGATTTTAGAGAATTTTGGCTGAAGTGCCTGCTTGTAACACGTTCTAATGAATTTATGGAGATTGTGCAATTTATAAAGACATACCGCTATGAGTACATTCCCCTGTTGTGATGTGGAACCATTTTAGAAAAAATAAATAATTTCATTGGACAGCTTTTCTTGTCCCAGTATACATAGTATGCATAGTTAGCACTGGACAGACGCAGTGCTAACTATGCATGTATACAGACTATTAAATATAGAGATGCATTTACAATTAAATAAAGAGATTTGTTGGACATCTTGTACGGTGTGTGCTTTAAATAACTAATTATTCTTCATACAAATTAGTTACCGGCTTCATCTGTAATTCACAGAGTTAAGACATTCGGATAGATTAGCCTCCCCCACACTGTCTGGGTGTGCTAGTATGACTTAGGAAAATGTAATTTAGTGTGATTTCTTTTGGCCTAAGGTGTGAACAAGTTCAAAAGGCTCAGTAAGAGTTAGCCTAAAACAAACTACTCAATTCCTAATTAAAAGCACCAATGTGGTGCTTGCTATTTTTGTTTTTATCGAAAACAAGCGGATTGGAGGAAGAACAGCTGAGATAAACAATGACTTTGAAGACGGTGGTGCATCCCTCTACTCACTGTTAATGAATTCAAATCAGATGAATTAACTGTTTGATCTCAAAATTCGACAGGATTAATATTTAGGGAAAATCTGAAGATTCTGCAAACTGTTCAAAAACTTCATCATATGAACAAAACGAATAGTCATCAGACTCTTCACGGTACTGTCTCCACACAGTTCATCTGTTGATTAAGAAAAAACATGCGGTGGAGTCTCTCATCTAAGATCAGGGAGTCTAAAATTTGAAAATGTACCTGCATTTAAGGTTCATCAGGTGTTCATTTCAAACCACCTTCCTCCCCTTTTGGAGGATTAATTAAAAGAGCTTTTGCATTAGACGCACACTGGCTGCAAAAGCATGGTCTCCACCAAGTACTGCAAATGCCACTCCACAGTGACATGCCAACTGTGAGAAGAGCTGCCAAGGACTCCCACGAAAAAAAGGCATCTTACAAGTACTTAGGGATCTCAAAACGTTATTAATCTCACAAACAGAATTCTGGTAAATAGTAATACACCGAAAGCCACTTACCTCCAACAGCCTCTAATATGAAAGAGTGTGTCACTGTCTTTGCTTGGAGCGAGAGGTGAAGAGTGGAAGCAAGAGACGGGCGGGGCACAATGAGAGGGTCTTTCCTAGCTGAGGCAGAGCTTTCACGGCTAGAAGAAATTATTCTAATATTAATGTCTGTTTATCAGCACATTGTTTTGTTTGTTTTTTGACAGAAAACCGACCTGGAGGGTGTGGCGGCTATGATGAGGTGAGGGTTGAGGAGGAAGAGCGAATGGTACACAACCTCCACTAAAGTTCCCCCAAAGCCAACATCCCGCTTTCTGAACAGGAGTTCGTCCGTGAGCCAGGCAAAGTCACGACACAGGATGGATACTCTCACGCCCTGTGGAGCGGAGCAAGAGGGAAACATTTTTATTTCAAACTCTGACGGAAATATTAACCATCTGGTGACATCATAAATCCCTGTTCACACTCCAACACACCAGCTCCAAAACCAATTTTGTTTATGAGCCTCTTGGAAAAGTGATGCATACTTAGAGGCGCATGAGAGGAAGAACTCAACAAGATAAAGCACCAATGGGAGCCTTTAATGCAGAAAGTCAGCACGTACCTCACGGTGCCGGTGCAGCAAAAGACTGGAAACAATACTGGTAGACATTACAGCCATGCAGGAAGTAGCAGCTAGACAGGCACAAAGACGCAGAGATAAAACAGCGAGCTTTGCATACCATTAGGACACTGTAAATATTCATTTACGGTTCAGCTGGGGCATGTATTCCCGGACTTACAGAAGATGAGGTGCAGGATGACAGCAACACTGAGGTCTCTATCTGGATGACTTTGCTCCTCTGGGTCAGAAGCAGAAGAAGGCAGGAGCCAGGACATCCTCCTCTTACCAAACACACTGTTACCTCTAGTTGTAAAAAGACAGAAGATAATACTCAATCTGAATCTAAATTTTCAGAATGGGATTTTTTACAACATATCAATGCTCAAAAAGTGACTTTGCAACAGGCTACGCGAATAGTTGACTGACTTGATCAAAAATATGTATAGACAAGTAAATAGTCACACACAAAGATGTCAGTTAATTTTGGAAGCTCGTTCATATAAAAAAGCTGCATTAAGATGGATTGAGAGTAAAATCCTAATGATATTCAGTCATTAAAACACAAATTAGGGCATTTTTCAAAAGTCTCCCTTTATCATTACATGAGTGGCTATGTGGCACTTCTTACAAAGCAGCTGTTCAATGTTTGTTGGGCCGCACTCGCTGTTACCATGGTAACATGCAGTTTTCGTCAACCAAGGCAGAAATCGGAGGGGATTACAATTTCATAGAAAACACACAATATGTGGGTTTATAGATATGATCCACTGTAGGCCTTAACCCATTAGATACTGTTGTTGTGAGCGATTTGTAAAGCAGCAACATATAAAGATCAAACAAATGACTATTTGAGAGCATCATCTGCCCCAACTGGGGGGAGAAAATGTGGAAAAGGACTACTTCCACAACAGCTTTCAGCTTGATAAAGAGATCAGCGAGTGAGGTAACTCAGAAATCTGAATTAATTAAAAATGTACGGGTAGTGCTCTATATTTTTAGCCTTTTATATGAGGCAAAACAATGTATGATTTATTTAGGCATCTCAGATTTGTGTGAGCTACACAGGAGAGCATCAGACTGTGTCTAATCAAGCTTTGGTGATACACAAGACTTACTAACCATGACGCTGTTCATCTCAGCCATGAAGAAATACACTGTTGGTCTGTTTGCGCAATTTTGTAAATAAATGTTTGCATAACAATAATATTAATGAACCCCTCTGCTCTGAACCTTATTAGGAAAACAACCTAAACAGCCTGGAATAAGTAGTATACAGCTCGGTTGTGATGTGAACACGTACAGAGGACAACAATTTGGTAACAATCCAACTTAACCACCACTCTTCCTTTTTTCATCTCCGATTTTCCTCATTTTTTACAACCAATTCATTTTTCTGCCAACCTCATCTTTTAGAATGATTGGATATAAAATGGTAAAAGCTCATTTACTCGTGAGACGGAGCAGAGACGGAGTGGGCATGTAATTTTCAAGTTGTTTTCTTTTTCACTGGCAGAATGTGTAACGCTGATGGTAATGATATTGGAAACGCATCAGAATCTGTATCGTATCGTTGCCAGATTTAAGGTTTAGATGACTGGTCTTTAAAGTTTAAGATAAAGAAACTTCATGGGTGTAAGATTGAAAAAATGAAAAAACTTAAACTCAATCCGAAACTGTGGTGTGTTTACTTTTCACGGATTAAACAGTGGCTTCTGTGTGAAGGTGGTTTCATTACCTATTGTTGAGTATAACAGGCAGCAACAGGTCCTGTAGAGGGAGCCATTCATCTGCTCTGCACCTCCCCGACTCGCACATCTCCTACACACAAAAAGGTTGATGTACACAACAGTACTCTCACTAAGACCTGGAAATCAGTGTCTCTAAATCATTTAACACTGATCAGTTAAGCTCAACTGCAAAAAAGTAGAAAGGCGATTGTATTTCCTAACTTTTTATTCCTCTATCATTAACTTAATACATGATTATATTTTATTAGATGCACTGAGCATCTAATCCTGTGAGATAAAGCTACCTGGTAATTAATCCTCCTTTTAGGAAGGTTAGAATATTGAAGTTGCTGGAGAGGCATTGATTCAGCTTTTAAAGCACTTCAGAGGCAGCAGTTAGTGGAACACTGATTTATATTGCATAATATGAGATGGTTTTCATATGCTTACAATAATATGGTTCTGTTCAATTCAGTCTACTTTTTTTTTTTTGCACCAAAAGAGTGCCCGATGAGGATACAGTTTACACAAAATAACATTCTGAACACTCATTTATAAAGGCAAATTTACCGCTAAAGGTCAGCCTGGTTTACAGCAAGGCTTACTGTTGGCCAGATCAAGTACGAGTGAATCAATGGAATTCCCTGACTGATTAGAAAATGAAAAAAGATGTCCAGCAGCTGCCACATGGACACATGCCTGCACAAAAATCTTTGATATCCATCTATATCTTTGACAAGGTTGCTCAAATCAATGCTGCTTTCTTTTAAAGATTCACATCTAAAAGAATACTTTGCACATCTTATCAGAAACAATAACATTGAGGATAAACAGATCAATGACAGCAGAAATATGTCCCTTGCATGCAAACATACTTTTCTGAATTTTGGTGGGGTTTTTTTAGGGTTTCAAACCAAACAGTTTGGGAACATGGCAACATGGGTAGGATCGTTTTTGCTTCGCACCTTAAGAGAAAAGGGTTGAGCCAGATGGATCCTTACACTTCCACTAGATTTCCTCCAGAGAAGAGACCACAGCCACTGTAACAAAGATCCCATGCCAACCTGTGGGGATGCATCAGATATAAGTCAGTCACTATGCCAAACTGCAGCCTTTGTCTTAAGTAAGGATGTTCCAACAGCAACTAAACTAAAGAAAGGATGTTGAATAGAAAAGGCACCAAGACAAACAGCAACACTCTCCTGTTTGTGTGTAGGGACCTGAGAACTGAATTAAAAAAACTTAATGTGTACGGTGTCTGAATGACAGAACACAATGATGGGGGGAGGACCTTATAATTGCAATTAACACAAATCAACACCCACTCCTCAGTGAAGTCTCAAAGTGCAGATAACAGGGCAGGTTTAATGGAGACTAATAGCTATCACCATTGCCCTGAAAAAATGAACCGCAAACCTCAGCTAATCAACAAACGCTGGCCTGTGAGAAATCACACAGATGAGCTGTGAGAGGCTCTAAAATCTGGATCATCACTGTAACGTTTTTTTCTTAGACCCTAGGTGGGACACTATGAGCCACACTGATATTCGGAGCCTCAGTGGGAAATACTGGCTGTGAGGTATGAAATGACTCAATATTAATAGCTTCTTTAGGTTCTTTCTGGAAAACCATTCTCCTTTACGACCAACATTTTCCTTTGGTGTGTGTGAACGGAAACCATCGTGGCACTATGAATTCAGATGGTCGGAGCTGTTTCTAATCAGTGGTGTGCCTGCAGTGTCCTGAGCAGCTGAAAAAGTGAATCTACTCAGGTGGAGAGCACGCCGTGATTAGTAATATAGTGTATACAAACACAGCAGCAAAGCCTTGAAGATAAAAGACTGTATTATCCTAAACCGACTGCCATGACAGATCTGTATCTCTATATGTGGAGTTTAGCCATTTAGCACATCGACTCAATCAGACCTACAGTGTCACCTAAAAAGAAATCTATTATTCTTCTGATAACATTTGATGCTGCAAAACTACGACAAACCTGATTTCATGTTGCACACAAACCTTCCAAGTCAGAATTTCAAATGCACACACACACACACACACACACTGGATTTGGCCTTAATCTGTGAGAATTAACCTCCTCACGGTTCAGCTTGTGCCTCAGTTGCAAATAATAAAAAAAAAAGTGAGTTATGCCCTCTAAAGCCTACTTATACAATAAAATATTTAAAAAAAATATAAACAGAAAAAAAGGATATTTACTACAAACATATCTCCATAGCAGTTTTAACCCATCATAATGTATGATACCTGACATGAAATAAAAAATGGTAATTGTCACAAAATGTCACACAAGTTAATAGATTCATGGATTTTGGTATGAGATGATATGGAAAGCTGAGTCAGCAATTCTTAAGCATGTGATCCATGCCTTCATGCTAAAATTAGTTATGACTCTACTGTAATATAAAAACAAATGACCACATTTAGTGTTTAAAGAAAATGTCCTGCCCCCCTGGTTAACATGTTACGCAAATTCCAGAAGCTACTGTTAGTTTGGATGATGAAAACTGAAATGGCTAAACCAGACTACTAAAACTAACTCACACACCGCCACACACCGGTTACTTCCGTCTCTTATTTCTTCCAGTAAAAGTCCCCAAAAATCCTGGTCTCAACCAAATCTCTTCTGTTGTTTCTACGGGGCAAACAGCTACAGATGGTCCATATCGAGTATGTGTGTGTGTGTGGGCTCTGTGGTGTGTGTTTACACGCATGCACCTTTGTGTTGGTCTTGGTCACACAGTCGTACGAGATGCCCACAGGGACCAGGCAGACGTCGGAGACAGAGCCCTCTTTGATGAGCTGCCTGATGCGAGCCAGCCACTGGCCACCCTGACCAGACTCTGCTGACACACCAACACTTAACGCCTGACCCTCATGTAGCAGCTCACGTAGCAGCTGGGGGGGGGGGGGGGGGGGGGGGGGGGGGGGGGGGGGGCAGAACAGGGGTGTGGAGGAGAGAGAAAACATGGCAAAGAAAAAGTCCTCAGAGCATTAGCATACAATACAGGAGGGCAAATACACATTTTGCCCAGTTTGAACCAGACCTTGACAAGAATACAAAGATACAAATACAAAGACACAGGGAAGACGCTTAGGGTGGTGTGGGGGGGGGAGGCTGACGGATGACTAGTCAAAACAGAGGAAGCAGGATAAAGTGAGGAAATAAAGAGGGACTGCGGGGGACACTTTATGACATTCAGAGATACTTCCCTTGCCTCAAGTACTGTTTTCCCCTTACAGACAAAGAAAATTCAATTACCATTGAACAGCAGCTAAGCTGGCCCACACTCAATAAACAATAAAGGTCTATTAACGCTGAAATACAACCGATAAACAAGCCTGCCTTCTCACGCAAAGCCAATATGCTTAGTCACATAAATGGTCAATGAAACAAACAATAAAATAAATAAAATAAGAAACTACTGCGTCACTTATAAACAGCCTTCTTGTGGACCACTGAGGCTGCTGTCTTGTATATTAATGTCAGACTGGTCTGTTTTATTGAGATTTATAGTGCAATGTTGATCCTAATAAAGCCTGTAACTCGTCCAAATAAAATGTGTCATTAGGAATATTGATACAAAGCACAAATGGCTTCCATACTTGTTACATTACAAGACCAAGACATCAATGACAGACGCTAAACATTTATGAAAATAAATACAGGCACCTGAACAAGGAAAGCTGTAAAGCAAATAATGTATGTATGGATGCTGTATGAATGCAGACCATACAAATAAGGGTAAAAAAGAAACTGTGCATTGGAGAAAAACAACCTGTGCAAACCTGTCAAGTCCAAACAATCTCGCCAGTGGCCATTCTTTAAATTTCCCTGCCCTCACCGGCAACAAAACTCAAGCCCCCTGGTAATTTTGAGAATGAATAGAAAGTGAGACGAGGCCAGGGAACGAGGCAGAGAGGGAGAAGACAGGGTGTACTCTGATTGAGGAGTTGGCTGTGATAACATTCCACCTTAGAGAGCAGTGTAAAGCATTTTTGATTGAGCATGAATTGAAATGAATTGAACTGAATGCACAAAAACTAACAGCTAAATCATGACGACAGGCACCATTTATGCTGATCTACCTGCAATTTCATACAATTACATGCTCTGTTGATCTCTTTTTAAGCACATATCTCATGGGGAACTCTCTCTTTGAATTAGGGCCCTTTGCAAAGTCATTGGTTTCACAGATATCACAAACAGGCACCTCGTGCCAAGAGGGCTGTTCTGTGACTTGTACCAACGTTCAGAAAGAGGACATTTGCATATACTTCACAGACATAAATCAAATACATTGCCCCAACCCTAGCATATTTGAGCCATTTACCAAAGCGTTTAGGCTGTAGTTTCAAAATGAATTTGGGTGTGAAAAGAGAACTTCAATGCATCTAAACTGGAGCAAATGTTTCTGCTTTTTGACAATTTGACAAACAGAACCCTGGTTATCAAAGGGATCGCATGTTACTGCATGACTGACTAAACACAAAACAATGACCATCATAGTGGGAATTTCAGGAGGAGCCACAAAGACTGTCATATTTTTTTAACATGCTCAACAAAAACTGTCCAATAACCCAGCCCAGAGGAGAACATTCTCCAGGAGCTGACAAAGAAAAGACTCATAAGCTGGCACATGATGTAAAACACACACCATCTGTTAAAGACCTACAGGTGAGAATAAGTGCATGGATTCAGTTGGCTCTGCTTTTAAGAAAAAAATTTGACCGAATACAGAGGCAGGCAGATTATTTTCTCAAGTCTGGGGAAAAACTGTAAAGCTGATGCCCACGGATTCAAAACCTAGCAGCATTCACTCACTGATAGATCAGCAAGCTGAGCTTCATCTTACATGATATCATAATGGAATAAATCCGTTCGGTGGTGAAATGAGATGGTTATTTCCTGCAAACAACTCTTTAAAAAAGGCAAACAAGAATAAAAAAAATTAAAAATTAAAACTGCATAAAATTCACTGCATTTAAAATACCAACAGATCTGTTTAGCAAACAGAACTGCAATTCTTAAACCATCCGTCTCCCACGTTAAATCTGAGCCACCTCAATTCTTATTTTCATTTAAAACAGATACAAGATAAAACATTGTGTTTTGGAAAACTGACAGGAAAGAAAGTACATTTTCAATTAAGGTTTCAATGAGTCAAATGACACAGACCGAACATTTTCTGTCACGACAGCAGCTCATTTGATGCACAAAACAGTCTTGCTGCTTTGTTATTTGGTCCAACACTCAGCTAAAACTGAAACATCTCAGCAGCACCTGAATACATTCTTATGATGTTTGAGAAATAAAAATGACACTGTCGACTGTGACTAAACAGAATTTTGTCTTTTGAGAAACCCTGAGGTTAGCAGTCAGTGTAGTTGTATGTCACAAAGATGATTCATAATGCTACAAAGGAGAGTGAGCAGAATGGATCATTTCATACTGATGTGGGCATCGAGGTATGGGAATACATGACAGGAGTTAAATAAAATGATCAAATCAAATTTTAGCATGTCATTGTCGATCATCAGAAGTCATCTGCAACACAGATTACTTTGAGACCAGGACAAATGTGTTAGGATGGAGCAGCAGCAACATCTGATATGTCAGGTTGTTAATAATACTCTCGCTAGGAGAAAACTGCTCTGAAAGAAGACTGGAACTTATCAGTCCTCACCAGCATTTCTGCCGTACGGCTTGGCAGAAATGACGCAGGTCACATGACTTTAAGGTGGGAAAACTTACTCACTTGTTCATTTTATCCCACTTTGTCCAACAACTTCAGACTCAATGACTTTTCACTGAGGGGCTCGAAGTCAGACGCTTAAAAAGGCTGATAATGTAGCTGGGCTCGATTTGTGATTCACCACTAAAGCAGCATGAAAACACAAGAGGAATGAGAAGGGCCTCTTCATGTTTTGCTTGGATTCCCTTTTATACCATCACCAGGCTTATGAGTTAAACCCTCTAAACCAGAACACGTACAGAGAAACAAGAAAAGAGGAACAACATGTACGGTGTGCGAGTGCCTACACCAGGTGCTCATTATGGAAAACCACGAGCAGTCAGTACTGTTCACTCAAGTCAGCAAACGGGGGCACAATTAGCACACAATTATCCAGGCCAAAACGCTAAGAGTCGGGATTGTTCACACATCCATTAGACTGTTCGATAGATAAAATGCCCTTGGTTCATTTCACTTTGGAGTAATGGTTCCTGAAAGTCAATAAAGACGAGGGGGGGGGGGGGTTAGAGGATGTACAGGGGTAGGAAGAGGAAGAGGACTAAGGCTTAGACCACCACCAGAAACTGGGTGTCCTCATTGTTTTTTCAGTTATAGTCATTTATTCTGAAGTCAGTGAATAAAAAATGTGGAATTGTACAGGTGTTTGGGATAAATAAAGGATGAGATTGTTATCCACAGCTTTTATAGCTGGTAAAACGGCATGAGAAACTTTACTCACTGCTTGACTCCCGAACCAAGTTTTGCTGCTGTGCAAAAATATGCCGAACTGCATTTGTTCGAGAACTTTACTGTCTGGGGATGAAGTTTAAGACTGTAAAATTTTAGTGGAGAAGTTGGTTTGGACTTTTTAAAAACTTTTAGAAGAGCTGAGGAGAGAGTTGTGCGTAAACTTCAGCCAAATGTCAGACTTACAGACGTCATGAGAGGAGCATGCAGAGGGTCCCTCTCTGCTTCCAGCTCAGTTTCTGCGGAGGACGGCAGAAGGATAACACCCACTCTCTGTAAGACTGATCTGTAGAAAAAAAGGAAGGGCGCATGTGTTGTGGAAGAGGCTAGAAGTAATTATGTTTCTGTCTGTATACAAAGTTAATTTGGCAAGCCTAAATATGGCACGGTGACTGTAATAAGCTCTATCTAATTTCTGCTGTAAAAAGGTGTCTGCAGCATCTGTGGGGGAGAACAATATGCTGCATTGTTAGTACCTTGCTACTGCAGGCCAACAGGCTTTGGAGTGTTTTTCTGCATATATTTCAGAGTGTGAGGATACCTTAGGAAGGGGCTGGTAATGTGAAGGGGACAAACAGTGTATGGTACTCTCAGACTGTGACAGAAGAGCACGAGAGGGATGAGAGCGTAGTCCATGGCGTTCTGACGCACGTACACATAAACCAGCGGAGAGCCCTAAATTAGAGAACAGAAGCAGTCTCAGATAGGGAAAAATTCCCTACATTTTCATCCATTATGTCAAACAAAGATAGGCTGTGCAGAGGTGACTAACTGTGAGCTCATGTTTAATCAGTGCCGCGATCAAATACCACTAGCTTCAGATAGCATCAGCCAAAAGAAATGATAAGAAAGTGCTTTTACAGTCAGATGACAATCTTCAAACAGTGGGAGATGGAGGCAGAGACTAAACATATACATGCATAGATTGTTTAAATTGCTTCATTTATTTTAGAACTGAACATCACACCATGATGAGTGTTTTTTTCTTCTCTGATTTTACAGATAAATCAAAATGCTATTTGTTTTAATGTCTCAAGTACCGCTTTTTTCCTCATGAACACAGGAGTAAAAACATGCTGTTGCAAAACTATTTTTTTGTAGTTATAGCAAACGTTAAACACAACTGTGTTTTTAAATATGATGGTTACAGTAAAAATTATTTTTACTTCCATGGTTTTTATTTCATAGAGCATGGCAACAAACATTTATTTTCAGGTGTCACAAGGTGCCACATAAAAAACAGGCCCGCCCCTTACTCCTGATACAAATAGACAAATAAACAATGTGAATACACAGAAGAAATTATTCAGAAATACTGTGAGGACTAAATCCACATACCCTGAAAAGTATGTGACAATTAAAACCATAAGCATTACTAAAAACCTTATTTTGGTTTGGTCCTCAATCTTATGCAGAAGAGATATCGCAAATCATTTTTTTTAACCACTATTTACCTAGTCAAGTGTGAAATTAGAGCTGTGTAGTTTTCTGTAAAAAAAAAAAAAAAGAAAAGAAAGGAAAAAATAAATTAAGCATAGAAAAAAAAAAAAAACTTTAGAAAAGTTTCATGTCACCCTCCTGAAAACTGCTTTGCAGCAGACATATAAAAACAAATGTAGTTCCCCCCCCGCCTCATTGGATGACTGAACATAGCCTCAGCTAACACTTTGACCTGCGGTGTGTGCCGGTCTCAAACCTCATGATTTCCATGTGAAAATAGATGAATTTATGCAGCATGAATTGCCACCTTTTAAAGGGGTTTGAGACACTTTCAATCAACAGTGAATGAATATGAATCCGTGCATGGATTTCTGGGCACTCATACCTCTTGCGAGGCTTTGTGTAAAGCTGACAGATGGCTGAGGTTAACTTGAATACTTCCAAACGCAGAGGCAAACATCTTCAACGTCACCCAGCACATGAATCTAGTTAACAGGGAAGAGTGTGTAGAGATGTTTAGAAACAATGAAGAGAATACAGAAAATGGATGACTTGAGATAAGGACAACAGAGCACGTGGCATGCAGGAGAATAATGGACAGACTGAAGTACAGATAAAGGAAACAAGTGCCAATAATTTGAGTAAGCTTAAAGGTATCTCAGATACGTGAATTGAAGATGGCTGCTGGGTGTGACAACATGTAAATAAAACAGATGGGGGTGAGACAGCACAGGGAGAGTTGGGATGAGTGATGACTTGAGGAGGAGAAAACGCAGAACGTGATAAAGAGGAAGAGCTGTAAGGCTGACAGCTGCAGATAGAGACAAAGGCAGTGGATGTAAATGAAGGGAAAATTAGAAACAGGGGAGAAAAAAAAAAAAGGGATTTTTCAGTACAGATTCCTTAGACCAGAAGACAGTCAAAAAGAATTCTCTCCCCGGGGGGCAGTTAGAAAATTTCGACTCAATTTCATCAGACATTTAGTGAGTTTCTGAGACTGCGGCCACAGGAAACGTATGTCAGGAGCTGACAGATTCCCAGCATGTCAAAATGCCACTTCCATGTTTTGACCAGGGGGGACTGAAATGACCGCATGTTCTCCGTTCAGGGACAACTTTATATGTCAGTAAGTGTCATTTTGAGAAGCATGCGGGATGACTGATGGATAGCCATGCATCTGTAAGTGGCTACATTTGAACTACAGCGATTTCACCACACGCTGCAGTAAGGTTTGTTCGTGTCTTTCAGATGCTTTTGGGTTTAGAAAGCAGAGCCTTGGGTTGCTATTCTGTTTTAGCTATTCTGTACCGTTTCCCTAGCAATGGGATATTTTACACATCCTGGCTTTTAAATCCAAATGTGAACTCCCGGCACATTAAAGGCTAGGGAGTGCCTTTAATGAGGGGCAGGTTTAAACAAAGCCATGGAATAATGTATAAAACTATCCATGGTAAAACATACAAATGAAAATAAAGAGAAGTGAAACAGAAAATAAATCCAGAACTTTGATCAGTGTTTAAGACCCAGGGAGAGTTTAAAGTCGCTGGCTGAAGTTGAAACATCAGACATTTTGAGTACAAGATTTTTCTTTAGCATCACCATATCAAGAAAAACACTAAGATAGTTCTTTCTGTCAATTCACGTGCAAATCTAACAAAAAGATGTATTCACAGACACACAAACATGCACACAAACCTTAGGAGGCCAGAGGAAATACAGGTGTTAATGAGGGGCAGAAATGGTGTGAGAAGACTTAGCTGCCCCGGGCCATCCCCCCCCTCGGGTGTTTTATGGTTTGCTGTGAGCGCCTCCTTCAACCTGAAATACACGGTCACAGGACAGCTGGGCTGAGGCAACACAAAGCCTCGTTTGTGTTGCACTTACACAAACATCCGCCTGCCAGTAAGATGGCAAAAACAACAGCATCTCTAAGTAACGTGGTTACATAAACCCCAAACTCGATTACACCGGAGGAGGCAAAACAACAGATATGGAAGAACTTGGTCACAAAGATGGAAAAAGTGTGAACAACGCCCAAAGTTGTCTCATCTCTCTTCATTCCGACTGCACGGAGCCTGTGATAGGCTCCATTTTCAGTATCTTTCTTCGAGTTTCTTATCTGCTTTAGTCTTTTCTCTTTCCCTCACCACTGATTTGTGTACCTCCGCCTATGACTTATTTACAATCCTACGGCATCTCTACTCCAGTCTTCCTTCCATAAGATACCTGTTACTCTGACAGACTTTCTCCAGCCTGTTGCCAGCTCCGCTCCCGTAAACCTTGCACCCGCTCACAAGCAGGGCGCAGCACACCTTCCGCACCAACCAGCCTCGATATCTGCAACAGAAAAACAAACACAAACAAAAGCCTTCGGAGAAACGCCCAAAAGCGCGCGCGCTTCAACGGGAACGCTTTGTGTGGGTTGATCTGAGTAACGAGAGGACACCTTCATTACCTGGTTTGCGTCTCTTTGATGCTCAGCAGGTTGTGGAAGCCGATGAAAGAGTTTTGCCCAGGTTTCTTGCGCTGAGTGGTGACAGAAAAAACATACAGGAAAACGTCCCCGCTGCTGGTAGCACTCAGTGGAAGTGTTGAAACAAACATGATCTGACAGTTCCTGCTCCGCACAAACAGACGCGACACGCAAAAGCCTCAACAGACTGTTTGCAAACACGAGCTGAAAGCAACACAGGAGCGTTTCTAGGTACAGAGAAACCTAACATACCTGAGCGTGAATGTTTACCACTGCTTTTGTCACCTCTGTAGTGTTTATTGCTTCAGATACTGAAGCAAATGCACATCATTACAGCCAAAATATTTGGCTTATTATTGGAGTATCAGGGTAAAAAAATAAAGTTAAAATAATCCATACCAAAATCATTTTAGTATGACTGACATTCTGTAATCTAAAGCATTTTTTTGTCCTGGCAAGTAACTTTATACTGAGATTTAATGAACTGGATTAAAGGATTGATCGTTCAAAAAACACGTGGTAATGGTTGGTTTCTGTCACGGAGCTTCATGACAGCCGCTGCTGTCAGATAGAGCTCATTACTGCGGGATGCTCCAAAGTAAGTTAAACAACTCTGAAGTACTAATGTGGCAGCTGTGATAGGCGACGCTTTCCAATCTCTTTTAGCATAGAGGACACTGGGTCAGCTTCTGTCAGAGGATAAAAGATAACGCCATCTCTCTCTGCAACGGCAATTTGGAAAGTAATGCTGAGTTATTTTCATACAATCAGAGCTGTATGAGAGCCAAATTCAATGTCCCAAAAGCTTTAGAGTTGTTTTTCTTCTTTAGACTATGTTTTTTTTCTCCTTTGTTTGATTTTGAATCTTGGCTCTCGTGCGATATTCTCACCGGTTTGTTCTTGTTTCTATATCATGTCAGTTGTCCTGATAGTTCCACTTAATACCTTTGTCCTGCAGGCCTTTGATGCCAGTCTTGCTGACTTACAGCAGTAGTCCCCGAAGTTCCTCGACTAATCCATCACTATTTTGTACATCCTGAAACAGTACCAGCGCACACCGTGCTACGGTGCATTCTTCCTCTTTTAAGTCAATTTGCCTGATCGATAAGGGTGTTTCACCATTTTGCCAGTGTTTTTCTGTTTGCATTTATTCTTAAGCTGCAGCAGGATGAGGTCTTGCAGCCACAGCAAAAAGCAGGCCTGAACAAAATCCATTAAATTGTATTAAAGACATAAGCAGCTTAGGGATTCTTTCTGAAAACATCTATAGAAACATCATTAAATTCAGCAAACCCACCAAAGGAAGTGTCTTTCTAATCTGTAATATAATATACATATGGAACTGAAGACATGCTCACAGCCCTGCACTATAAAAATATAAAACAATAGCCATTTGAGGATAGTATTAATGTCATACTGTTTTTGTCATTCGATTGGTACATCTTATTCCTTTTTAAAATCCCTGGCTTCCGTCTCTTTTGCCGACTCACCAGGCTGTCTGGGGTACACTGGTGGCAGCACTGGCCCACGGCTGGTCTAAACTGGCCCAGGCAGGGAGGCACAGGCTTCAGCTTTTTCTTGATCTTCAATTCCCATGTTAACTGAATAAAGAAAAAACAACAAGAAAACAAACTTTGGACTTTCCAATCAGCAGCCTGTTAAAAATACCCATTTTTACTTGAAAATGTGTGGATCCATTTAGATCTATTTAAAAAATAACAATAAACTCTGTTTGGCACAAACCTAAGTGTGGAGTGTGTCCTTAAAATAAAAAGGGGAAACACATTAAGGGCACACAGAAGATGAACAGAATCTGAAAGTTATGTTTTTAAAATGGAGGAATAAAATAGAGGGTAAAAACCCAGAGAGATGCATCATGGGCACTAGTTAATACATCTACTCTCTGTCCATGGAAGGGTGGCAGTAAAGAGTCCATTTAAAAGAAGGGAAACAGCAAAAAAAGGCTGACCTATGCCAAATGACACAAGAAATGGAATGAAGATCAGTGGCAACAGCTTTTATAGCGGGATGAATCCTCCCTGGAGCCCAGGGCTCATCATTACCGAGGCAGTGTGGGATCACCTGACAGAGAACCGAACAAATGGCAGCCTTGATTTTTGGGACGTCCGTCAAGAAGCACAAAGAACTATTCCTGAAGATAACTTGCAGAAATGAAAAGCTTTATAGATTTGACCATTCCGTTTTTTTTCGTGATCGACTGTTTAAATTTGTGTTTGAAAGTTTGAATGCGTTTAATTCCTGTCTTCACTTAGCATCATTTAACAAAACGGTCCTTTTGTAAGATCTGGTTTATATAAAAGTTTTATTTAAACTATGTTTGAGATGTAGACATAAAAGCTCTGTCATTTTAGCATGTGCAGTCTGAGCAGTTATTGAACTATATCACATTATACCAGACAGGCTTTATTATTTCATCAGTGGCAAATATTAGAAAAAGATCACAGAGTGTGCCATCAATAAGAAAAGGCATGAACATGAAGACTCTAACTCTTTGCTCTTGATGTAATTTTGAGTTTATTTATTTAGACTTCTTTGAAGCAGGGATCACTTAAAAGCCAGATCCGCGTTGGCATGCGAGATCAGGCCGAGTAGTAAATATCAACACAGACCCTATATGAGAAGCAGCACCTTCGCCCAGAGCTCATCAAACAAACAGGTTATGCACCCGATGGGCCAAACGTGCACCGTTTACTAACCGACCACGCTTTCGAGTCTCCATGCTCGCCTGTCAACGAGACATTAGTTTGTGATGGCGAACGCTAACCGACAGATCGCCGGGCTCTGCGTGTGGTGCCGTGCGCTTGGTCTCCTCCTCCTGACGAGGCCAACTAATGTATCTCCCTAAATCAATGGCTGCAATGATGATAGATCTCAGAAAACTAAGTCAGAGGCCAAGAAAAGGCCAATTCCGCGACGAAACATTACTCCAAAGACAAAGCCCGGATTGAAACATCAATAATTCAAATGACTGCACCAGCCCAAAGGAGGGATGCAAAGAGGAGGGAGGAGAAACACTGTTTTACTATTCACACGGTATTTAGTAAACCTTTGAAAATTCTGCTAATTTTTTGATGGGCATGACTCACTGATGCATCACGCGCTTATTTGCCAGACATCAAACGGAATTAAAAATACTGGGCCACGCGTGTTCTCCAGTGATTGTGAAGAACAAAGCGTTTGAGATTAGTGCACACAATGCAGTTAGATGGAGAAGACACTGGGGGAGATCTCTTACAGCGGGTCTGTTCTGCTGAATTGGTGGAGGGCCCGTGTCTGTGCTTATCCCGCCATTCTTCTCCTGCACCATGGTGAGAGCCCTGCAGGTTTAAGTCCACAAACCTATGGAGAAAGAGACCGGGAGAAAAGAGGATATTAATGAGAGTGCCATTTTTTAAGACCGGGGATTGTTGCAATGCGATGGCTCGCGTCGTGCGAGAGAAAAAAACAAACGCGGCTTTTTTTAAGGCGAGGGAGGGCGGGAAAATACGGGGACTAATTCTGCAAATGTTCCGAGTGCTCAGAGAGACGACTTCCATCATCCAATTTCAGAGATAAACACACAACCGCACACAATCTGAGGGTAAAATTCTCTCTGGCTTCTACTTCCTGGAAGAAGAAGTGCTGGCCACACTCCCAAATCTATCACCCAATGACCATAGCAGCAATTTGACCCATCAACCTGCCCCTCCATTCCAAATTCTTTACTGTCCCGAACCCTCCTTTAATTTTTTCAGGTTAAAGGAAATCAGGCTCTTGTTGATGGTTTCTCAATGTGTTTTTAACCTAACTTGTAGCGATAACAAATAACTGGGGTGGAGAAGGGCCGATTCTCACTACTGGGTAATAACCCACTGAATGCTGGGTAAAGAGCCACGAGCTGAAAACTTTGGGAAACGTTTGCTGCTTCCACGCACGTTTGGAAATGAATTAGCGAGAGTTGGCAACATGACAGTGAAAGGTAGGCAGCTACTTAACCTACTGCTGCTCCTCTAGAGAGACATCTGACATGAGGGTGGAGGTACTGCCGATCAGTGAGCAGTGTGAGCGCAGGAAGAACTAAGAGAAAGGAAGAACTAAGTCACAGGAGCACCATCATCCTGAGAGAGGTTTCCTTTGAAATGCGTTAGGCTTCGTTTCCACTACAAAAAGGTTCGAGGGCGTTTCCTCAAGTCTCACCAAATATATCTTTCTGTGGCCACGTCCGAGAGATTCCGAGGTCTCATTAGGCTCAGAGAGACTTTGCGTTTGCATCTCTGTCTCCTGCTCTGTTGATCCCATCCTGCCCCATTAAGTCGGCTAATTAAAACTTAATCCTTTCCCATTGAGGAGATGCTCCATTTAGACCAGCTCCAAGTTCTCACATTCATTACCAACTCCACTGGGAACAAAGACGTTGATAAGAGGTTCCCAGGGATGCGTGATGCTTCACAGGTACACTGGTTAATGGAGGAGAGGAGGCAGTTACGTGGGGAGTAAAGGATGTGAAATGGTGAGTTAAAGAGGCCGAGTATCAGCCGAGGCTCTAATGGGGTTATGCAAGCCAGTCCAGGGGAAAAACGAGACCACGAGCATAGCCTCACAGTTTTCCATCATCGTTAAAATGTTGGAAAACTAAAAGGACTTTCATTTTCTTGAACTCTGATCTTTCCAATTGACGGAGTTCACACTGATCCATACGACCGGAGCAGTGCTCTAAAGTCCAACCAATGCCCGCCTGCCTCATGCTGCAGCTTGTTAACCAATTACAGTTGTTAATTAATATGCTGCTGTTTACTCATATAACAGCCAAGATTTAACAAGGTCCATGATGAAAAGCAGAGTGAAACATCAGAGGCGAGAAACATCAGAGACCGAATGCCAGGTCGGATTAGAGAAAGGAGCATTTCAGAGATGCAATCCTGCTGCTGGTAGTGGGTGTAGCAACGCCAATCCTCAAAACTTTTCAGTGATTAGCAGCGTGTACTTGAAAAGTAGCCCCATTCGGAGAGTAAATCTGATAGCTTTGGAAGCGTGTATCAAAATGTGGTGACAGTGGTTTATTCTCTCAGTGGTCGCACAACAAACGGCCAAAATAACATCAGGCTATAAACTTAGTAATGCTGAAGGGATGCCAAAGACGGGTACAGATTCCAATATACTGGACTGAATCCAGCCATTGCACTAATGGTTAGCCAGTCTCCACCTCTTTAGCAGTGAACGATTAAGATTTAACCGCGTGGTAGCTACATTTTACCGACAGTTTTTAAAGACAGCATTGACTAAATTAAATGTTATGATTGCTGATTAAGAGCTTATATGGAGATGTTCAAGGCAAATGAGCTGGAAGTGCTTCCTGTAAAAGTTTACAAGTGGCCCTATAACAGTGGGAGCTCATGAGTTAGGTTGATTAAGTCAATTAAGTCAAACCTACAAAGTAATACTACAAAGACTCACAGTCAACCATTGGATATTTTTCTCAATAACAAAAGCCTTTAACACCCAATCTATGACTTAAAAAGGTATTTTAAGTCAAATGAAAGCAATACAAGCAACGCAGTTGCTGAAAGCTCCCAACAGGAGCACAACAGCTCAGAAGTAAACACACAATCCTTCACAACACGCAGCATCCAGCGAGACTTGGCTGTGTGATAGTAATCAGGTTATACTAATCTCTCTTCTGCAGACATGAAAGTCATGTAAATCAAGTGAGGTTGGAATATCTTGGCACAATTAAGATATCAGCGTGTGCGGCGGAAATCACCAACACGCTGCGGCGTGAAGTCATTTCCCCCCATTCGCAGTGGAGATTATTTGGTCTGGTCTTGTGTCTGCAGTCGCAGTTCAAACCCCCCCTCCACGGTGGGCTGCAGCTGGATATGGATATGGGGCATCGTCTGATTGGACGGTGCAGGTAGAGCCCAGCGCACGCTGTGGAGTTTTTGTCTGTCCACAATGAAAGAACCAGTGTGAGAGGATGACAGAAAGATCTTTGACTGGGTCCTAAAACGGTCCTCTTTCTTAAAAGCTATGTCAGCACACGGGATGAAAAAAAGCAAATAGGAGCAGATAAAGAGGGAATTGCGATATTAAAGCAAACGGCAAACGTATTAACAGATGACGGTAATAGGGCCGTCAGCTCATAAAACTCACTACAGCTGAGACGTCGTATGATTTCAGTCACAGTAGCAGCCAACTAATATTCAGCAAGTATCACCATCATCATCATAATGTCTTCCTCGCTCAGTGATGATTCAGTAAAATGTGGAGTTTTTACCAGAGTGATCATGATCCTGCAAACCGCCGGAGAGTCGGGCAGCTCCACACAGTACAGAATCAGCCAGGAGCCAGATTACTGATCTGGCAAAGGCTGCAACTCATCACTGTGAGCTTTGGGCAGCTCGACTAGGCACCTAAGATGATGTACCCCTCCGCGTATCGATCCGAACATCCAGACCAGATCCAGAGGAAAAGAAGGTAAGAATGTCACAACCTCCGTGTCAGGATCCCTGACGGATCCAGGACATGAAATATAAAGGCCAGGGAAGACCTCTTTGGCCAGAAAGGGGCTTGTGTCCAGGCAACAGAGAAAGCTTCATGGAGTAAAAGACGGGTGCCATAATCCTGCATCCTGTGTATCAGTGCAGGGGATTTAAACCAATGATCAACTCTGTGAAAAATAACCACTCAATTAGTTACATTATTCGATTCGATTCGATAGAAAAAATCTACATCTGCAGCAGTCTGTGACTTCAATGATTGGGACTAATGTTTACTGCAGGCTGGGAATGAATTCTCCCACTGAAGAGAAAATCATAATCTTAAAAAGGGGATGAATGACTAAAAAGCAGTTAATGGTACATTATGTACACAAGAGGTGGCCTTAACGGCTCGTCTTTGATGTGCTTATGATCCCTCTCCGACAAATCAATGGAGTGTGGGGATTCTGCTGAGCAGGCAAACAGAAAATGCCACGGGGACAACGGTGCAGTTGGCTGTTTTTTTACCGGCTGAGAGTACACCAGGCAAGTACAAAAGAATGCTAATGTGGTGAAAGTACACAGCTACTGTATGCACCTCGCCGGGGCAGCTGTCTTGTGGCTTCAATGCACACACATACACGGAGAAAATCAATTTGTGAATCAGCGGTTGTGCGTCATGGAGTCTGTGAGCGTCATTGATTTCAGAGAACAAAAGGATTTCTATAACTTCCCTCTGCTCTTTTCCTCCCTGTAGCGGCACACAGGTTTCACTTTAATGTCCGGATAATGGTGGAGTGCATTAAAAACATACTCCCAGCTTTGGATCAACCTGATGAAGTCCACATTAATACAACTAATCATTCCTATCTGACTTGAGAAAATCATGGAGTCCCTCTGTAAGCCCCTTTTCTTTTTTATTCCTATTCAAATGTATGGCTGCTTTATGCAATATGTTAATTCAAGATCCCAGTTGAAATTTATTCAAAATACCACATAAATAGCCTCTTTTAGAACAGAACTCACCGCCCACACAGTGTGAGAGTTTAGGTTCATATAAATGCCCACATTTTGGTACTGTGACAGATTTTTATGGCCCTCAGTAAATTTGCATTAGGATATTTTATTAACTTCACCATTCTCAGCTGGCAGGTGTGCCAAGATAATGTTTCTGCATCACATCATTAGTTACTGTTGACATTTAATCTTTCTCGGTTAGAATCTCAGATTTTCTTCATAGGTAATAACAGCGGCTTATTCTTTTAGAAAATACAAATGATGCTACACAAGAGCATTCATCCAAAAAAGCTAAGCATGAAAAATGTATTCCTGGTTGCTGTGATGCGGCGGGTATCTGTTCATTTCCCCTGTCATCGAAACACAAAGTTAATATCCTTTGTTAAACAGCGTCGCTTCGACACATCCAAAAATAAATGACTATTTAAATTGCATCATTAAGGAAGCGTGGCAGGGAGCAGACAGTCACGACCGGGAAAGGCACACCTTTACGCAACGAATTCCTCAATGAAAATACCTTTGCCTTTATAGATAAATACATAAAGAACTCCTCCCCGAAAAAGGCGAAAAAGGCTGCGGTGATGAAGATGATGAGATATAAGCAGATAATCAAAAGGTTGGCAGGTTGTTGACAACAAACGATAGACTTATATTTCCCTTTTTTGTGATTTTAGTGCAAGTCATGATAGAAAATGATCCTCCCTTTTGGTTCAGTCAGGATATATCAGCTAAAATATGGGCTCAGCTCCATATCAAGCTACGGTACTGCTGGCAGACATTTCCTATACTTGGTCCAGAAAGCACAGATGTATTGTGGCATAAGCTGCTAAAAATGGACTAAATAACATACAAGAGCCTCCCTGTCCTGT